CCTTCATGGACGAGCTCAACTACGGCATCAACTAGCTTCAACACAGCGTTGGAGGGCGTGGGAGCTGCAGTCATGGGGGTTGGAGCTTTGATGGACTCAGAGCCACTGGTGCTTGGTGGCTTGGCTATGGTGGCAGTGTCTTTGTACCGCCAACGGCATGGAGTTCAATATGAACAAGAAGGTTTCGACCTACATCATGGAGGAGACCTACTACCAGGGGTTGAAAATCTTGCTGAGGCGTCTGAACCTCAGCTGAATGAAACGAGAAAAAAGGAAGAAAAGAGTCTGATGACCACAAGACTGGCAAAAAGACCGCAGAAGGACCACAAGAGTGGCCAACCCCCAAAAGGGAATTTGGATGAAGCGGCACATCCACCCCATCCACAAAGCCGAGCCAGCACGGCAGAAGATTCAAAAGAAAATCTTGGGTGTAATGGCTCACAGAGCTTCTTTCCAGGGTATGGGGGAGTAGCTTACGTCCCTGGATGTTTATCCACGGATCGGGCGCGACCATGTGCTAGCAATGGGGTGGAGTCGTCAAGGCCACCAAAAGGTGCTCTGCAGGAGCAATCAGTGCATGTGACTGGAAGGTTGCAATCAGTGCATGAGGTGCCGAGGGTGAGCGCCATTCGCTATGAAGCAGATCCTGATGATCCCATAGAGGATGTGGAGTCAGAGACGGATCCTGGTGTGCCATTTCCACATGGAGACCCTCATGGCAATGCCTATTTACGGCAACTTGGACAGGTACCTCCCAACTACAAAGCTCCTCCAGTACAATGGATGCAGCAACATGCGCCTAAGGCGGCACCGCCTAAGGCAAAACCAAAGAGAAGGCCGACAGCGGCCCAACCAAAACAACAAGCGGAGATGCCTAAGGCAGCATTGCCTAAGGTAAGACCAACGAGAAGGCCAGAAGAAGCACAACCAAAACAACGTGCAGAAGCCTTCCGACGTGCAGTTGAAGCTGAACGGGGGAGCGTTCACCAAGCTGTTCAACGTGAACAACAGCAACAGCATGGGGCTTCTTCCAGCAGTTCAACGGGGCAACAAGGATACCCACAACGGCCACTTCAAGGATCTCTGCAAGGAGAACAACCTGGAAGTGACCGACCCTCAGAAGAACCTCAACAACTTGCTCCGCCAAGCCAGAGCAGCACTCAACCGGTGGCAACTACGCAGCTGGATGAGGATGCTGAAGGTGATGGCAGCTTTGAGTTGGTCGAAGATGATGATCCTGGTGGTCAAGGTCAAGGACCACAACTTCGGGCAATGTCTCTTTTTTCATCCGCTGATGGAGCCATGGGATCGTCGGTGACTTCGGCATCGACACGACTGGTCGCGGATGAGGGGGAGATGGGCTTGGATTTGATGGACATCCCGAAGGGCTTGATCAAAAAGAGGACCAAAAGGGTCAAACAAGACCGACTTGTGGACAGCAGCTGGAGTGGAAAAGGTAAGGGTTCCGGGGTTGCGCCAGTAATCCAAAAAATGTCCCCAAACAGAAAGGGTTACCCAAAAAGAAGCACTATGTCGTTAGAAACCCAAAACATGAGTACTACAACAAAGGGAACTTCGTTGGGACATGTTGCTGGTGATTTGCAAAGTTTTGATGGTGAACGGGCTGCAGTTTTGACTTTGTTGCGGCCTGGTTCAAACATAGACGGACAACCTCCACCTGCTCTGCGCTTCTTTGCGGTGATGAGCGATGGTGGAGAAGACCGAGGTGACCGTGGTTGGCAAGAAGATCGTGAAGATCGAAGTGGCCACGGTGAACCTGGAGAAGATCAAGGTGATCGTGGTCGACAAGAAGATCGTGATGATCGAATAGACCGCGATGTCCCTGGCAAATTGTTTGAAAGATGCCCGGGGAAACCGAAGCCAAAAAGAATAAGCCTCAAACCGGCTTCGCGGGCAACCTTGAGACCGGCCTCACGGACGCCTGAAGAAAAGGAGGAGGGCGTCAGAAGGGTCATCATGCTGGATGATGAACTACACCCAGGAGACGCCGAACGCCCAGAAGAAGCCGCGCATCCAGAAGAGGTTGCAGATGCTGAACATCAAGAAGAAGTTGAAAGAGATGAGCCCCAGGAACAAGAGGGGCCAAAAATGAAGAAGTACCGAAGGGTACGGGTGAAAAAGAAAGTGACGCAGTTGGAGAAAGACATCCAGGAGATGCAAAGTGCCAGAAGGGTCCGAAATGAAAGAATGGCTCGCCTTCGACTTCTCCAACAACAAAGACGAAGACGGCAAGAAGCTGCAGAACCTTCGGGACAACAAGAACTACCAGCGTCAGAAGAACCTCAGGAAGACAAAAAACCTGAGGAAGTAAAAGCTGAGGAGCCCAAGGAACCTCAGCCAAGGACGCCGTCACCATCTTCGGTGGATTGGAAAGCTGCCGAGGAGGAGACGAAAAGGCAGTTTGCGGAGGCAAAAGCAGCAGGCCGCAGAATCCTCTCTTACGAGGAATGGGACAAAGAGCGCAAGGAGAAGAATGAGAACTTGCGCCAAGCAGCACTGCGGAGGTCATGGCTGGAGCGAGAAATTGCCCGCAGAGCTCTACAACAAGAACGAGGTGAAACCAGAGAAGCAGTTCTGAGGAGCACAACGACATCGGCATCTGGACCGCTTACAGATGAGGAGTGGGCGCAGATGCAACAGATGATGAAAAAGTTGCCACCAGCACCTCCATGGCAGTGTGAGATGCCCAACAAGGATGAAGAGCAGCAGCAAGACAAAAGGGCCAAAACGGTCCAAAAGGACCCAAAGCACGGGATGCAACCGCCACAGCCGGATTTGCCGGCACCACCTCCGCAGGGATATGCTGGAGTTTGGAGAGGTGGATGTTGTCCTGGCTTTCGTTGGCAAGGGGTGCAACAAGGTCACCATGGACCACAAGCACCTCACGGACAACAATGGTTTGCACCTGGATGTGGAGGGCGACAACACCAAGGACCTCCAAGAGGACCTCAAGGCTTTCATCCAGGACTACAAGGGCAAGCACCAGCGCAACAAAGCATGTCGCTGGATCTTGGGCCAGTGAGATATAGGTCTCCTGAAGAACTGGCAGAAGCGACGGCATGGTTGGAACGACAGCGTGGCGGCCCTGAAGTGGATCTTCGCACACCGGGAGATGTGGTTCGGCATGACTTGGCGATGGCCATGGCGAAGTCAAGGGCAAAAGCTGGAATGCCGACACCACCACCAACAAGGACGGCAGGTCCGCCTCGACGAGAAGTTCCTCCACCACAACCGGAACAACAACAGGGACAAGGTGGAGGAGAAGGTGCCGAAGAATCTCTCCTACAGAGAATTCTCAGGTTGGCTGGAGCTGGACCAATATGTGGGGGAACTCCGCCATCAACACCAAGGGTGCCTTCACCGTCGAGAACCCTGTCGAGCACATCAGAGGCTGAGATCCTGGAGGATGTGCAGTATGATGAAACCAACAGGGATCAAAACGAGCAGACGGCTTTACGCCCTAAAGCTCGTCCTCAACTTCGGCGGGACCCTCAACATGGGGCGATGGCTGCGAGTGGTGCCGGCGGTGGAGATGGCCCTGGGGACAGAGATGACCCACGGCGCAACGACCGGGCAAGCCCTGAGCCTGAAGCCGAAGACGATGAGGAGGACTCTGTGGAGGGGACGGCCACCCAGGAGTTCATGTATCGGATGAAAAGAAGATCCGATGAGCTGACTGGAAAGAAAAACAAGTTCCAGGTCGGCAAGAGCTCTGCATGGGAGCCCCAGAAGCTCCGAAAGGGGCGTGGCCACACGGTCAGATGGTGGCCGGAGCGTCGTGGCAAGGGCACCAGGGGTGAGGATTCCACAATAACCCACTCCGTGACGAGCCCTACGACGGGATGGCAGCGCATCTATGCGAAGGGAAAGCAGCCAAGGGCACTTCGCGTCTCCAACCAAGGGGGCAAAGGCAGTGGGGGCCGCATCGTCCTGCAGGGCAAGGGCGCAAATCCAGCGGCCGAACTGCAACTGGCGCAGTCGCTGAGCCGGGCCTCCGCTGCGGTACGGCGAGCGGAAAACGCCGTGGCCACCCATGGGAATGGCAGCGAGGGGGCAGAAGCAGCTTATGAGGAGGCAGCCGTGGCGGTGAACCAGTACCTGGATGCAGATGCCATCCTACACCCGCCAACGGGCGCTTCAAGCTCCAGCGCAGCACCTTCGAGCTCAAGCGCAGCCCCAGTGGGAAGAGGAGCCGCCAATCTGGGGTTGGAGGTCTACCGCGACTTCCTGCGGACCAAGGGCAAAGGCAAGACAAGCCGAGCTCATGCAGATGCAGCTGCAGATGATGAGGGATCTGACCCCGAAGCAGACCCTGAAGAAGAAGACTATGAAGAGGAGATTGAAGAAGAAGAAGACCAAGGTGATGAAGAGGACTACGTCGAGGTGGAGCTCGAGGTGATCCCTGAGGACGACCTTGGTGGCCATGAAACTGATGGCCATGACGAAGCAGGCCATGAAACTGATGGCCATGAAGAAGCAGGCCATGAAGCTGTGGGCCGAGCAGAGGGCACGCACGACGGCAATGGCCTGGCGAATGATGGAGAAGAAGAACGCCATGGAGAAGAAGAGGGCGCTCCGGACTATGACCCGGAAGAGGAGTTCGCCCATGAAGAGCACAGCTGAGAGAAGCTTTGGGCCTGACTGGCCGTAGCAATTTTTCCAAGGCCTAGTGTTTAAGGCCACTAGGCGTGCAAGGGGTCTTGTCTTTACGACCCAAATCTGATGGTAGCCGTAGGGAAGTGAGTGCACTAAAGGTGCTACTCCACTAGGCGTTTTGCGCCATCAGACAAGAGCAAAGCCTCTAGGCAGTTGAAAAGTGCACCCTCCAGTACAGGTTTGGCAGCGTGCCAAAGGGGGAGTGCATAAGGGATTTTCAAAGCTGACCTTTTGGCTATGAACAAGTGTAGTATCTGTACACTACATGACATGCAGACATACCTGCGGTAGGTCGACAACAACTTTCCTGCCGTAGGCTTCTTTTAGCCCAAGAAAAACAGGTGCTCACGCTGCTCCGCAAGCAGATTCAAATTGCAAAGGCAAAGCGGCAAAGCGAAATGATGTGAAATGGCCTCCATGGCATTCTCTGGGTGTGCCGTCAAACCGAAGCTGGGTGCCCTGAAGTTGGAAAAGCTCAGCATTGCATGGCTTCGCAGATCTCAGCATTTAGGAGCACTTTACACATTTGAAAGTCTGGCCGTCTGGCCGTGCCTGCGGTTTTTGGGTGAGCCTGTCAGGGCGCCAGAAACCGATAGCCGGGTGTGCATCCCACGTGTGGCGCAATGGTTCAAGCACTGTGCGCTCCCTTAAGCCTTTGCCTCCGTACATACTATTCACCTCGGAACGGCATGCACCACATCGCACCGCATAGAATGTAGGGAAGCAGTTTCTCCAAGGAAGCATTATGTGATCGCTACAGGCCTCTGAAATCTCGCATCTAAGAAAACATGACTTTAATAAAACAAAAATTGCTAAGTTAGGATTCTGAACTGTCATCTTTTTGCAAGAAAGGGTAAGCAAATCTTGAATCTTGGCCTGACTGCGAGTAGAAATCTGGCCGGAGTTGCAAATCCAGCTGTTGACAGGCATTCCTGCAACGAGCAGAATGAGTCTCTACCTCTGGATTGATCTGCTGACTGCCTTTGATGAAGGAAGCACCAACAGTGATCAGCAGAATATCTGCACACATGGGCAGGCATATCAGCATCAGTCCACAACCCACTGCGCATGGTCACGGAGCTCCATATGCAACTTCCGAACCTGTGAGATGCAGGACCCGTCAACGACATGAATTTTGGATCGACAAATGTTCCAGGATGTTCCAGCCATGCAAGCACAGTGTCAAAAGCCTGGCACATCAAAGTCGTCAGATCGATAGCCTGTCGACATGCTAGCGATGGCTGACCTATGCAAAATCCATGTCCACCTCATATATGCATTGCAGAAAGTGCGTTCATATGCAAAATATGTTGTTGCATTATATATGATACTAAAAACATGTTTTTGATTCAATACAGGTCAGTTTCAGTTTGCAAATGGCTGCAATGGTGCCTTGGCTGGGCCATGAATTCTGCAACACCCAGCTATAAACTCCTCCACGTCGATGAATCCTTTCATCGCGCAGTTGAAGTTGAAATAGCAACAGGATGCCGTCGGAGGAGACAAGACCAAGAAGAAGAAGAAGGAGGAGAAGAAGAAGAGGAGGAAGAAGGGGAAATAGCAACAGGGAAAGGTTTCAACACCATGACTTAAGTATACTTAAGTGGCAATGCCAGCTGAACACAGAAACCATAACAAGATCATTGGCACCTTGATCATCAATGTCCAACAGCAGAAAGAGGCCTTTGCACAGAATGATGTCATGTACACGAAGCCCCAAGCGCTGGTCAATTTCAATAAGGAATGGAAGGCCCCGTCGGCCGTCGGTGTAGGGATCCTGTAGTATTTGATTTTCCTGTGCAATGAATCCCCATCCCATCTTCAAGCGTTTTGCTTGTCTTTGAACAGGATAGGGAGTCAATCACTGAAGCTAAACCAACTGGCACGGGAAAGAATGCAGTCCCCAGTGCCCACTTGATGCGCATTGGCATCATTGTTTTCATCATTCATCAAGCGCGCGATCCAAGGCGATCTCTGCGAATTCAATGACATTGTCCCAAACTTCGACAGAGAAATGATGCCCCAGATCTTGAAAGGCGCTGAAGGACACCTTAAGGCTCCACCGCAAAGATCCGCAAACTTCGGAAGTTTCCAGATGTGTTCATATCAAGTTAAGTATATAATAGTAATACCATGGGAAGCGATGTAATACCCATGTTACCTCTTCTTGCAAGTCTTGAAAGACATCGAAATTGCATTGTTGCCAACTGCCAACTTTGCTGAGACTCTCCTCGATAACCATAAGAGCCTAGAGCAGGAAAACTCAAAAACTATAGGAAAACATGGAAGAAAGATAAACAGAATCCTGTAGAAACAGGATGCTGGCAGATCATACACACTTTGTAGTTCAATGCTTGCAGAAACATGGTGCTCGTGCTTCAGACGCGAATGAACCCACGAAAACCTCTTGCAAAATCACTTACCATAAGAGCCTAGAGCTTCTCGTTGTTGTCGAGCTGAAGCGATTGGAACGATCTTGTCCTCTGTTGCATTTGCCAAGGTAACGGTGTCACAGAAATCTTAGAAGCAAAGGAAGTGCAAAACTGTTCCACTGGGTCATGATCCCCCATCCTCCACTCCATGCGTCAAGAGGATGAGCTGGTCACTTCCAGACTCAGCCTTCAGGACATGGTGACATGATCCAATAATAGTCCGATAATGGTCCAATGGAGCACTTGCAAGAAAGGGGACAGCAATGGGGACAGCACGTGTTGGGCTACCCGACTTGTTGCTCAGGGAAGCAATCTGCCAGGAAACCTGAACATGACCTTAACAAGACGACGACAAAAGCGATGACAATCAGATCTGGTGTGCTGCGCCCTGCTGCGCCTATCATTGTGGCAGTCAATAAATCATTTAAGGATATTTAAGGATGCTACCGACGATTCCCTGCAGTAATGTGAGTTATCTGGACTATCCATGACTATCCATACAATATCATACAATATCTGTTTGTTCTCAGCATGTCTCGACATGCTACAACCAGCCCTGTGTTTCAGACTATCCAAGGGACACAAGCCCAGCAAGCTGTGGGAAGAGCAATCCAAGCAGCGCAGCAGTGCCACCGGCACCGAAACCACCCAGAATCACCGAGGACAATGGCCATCCTCCCGCGCTGGCCTGCAGGATGCGATGGCTGATGGACCACTTTGCAATAGCGGCTTCAAGAAAAAGATTTGGAGAGCTACACTTGGCAAATGGAGTAGTCCCTAGTAGGTGAAAACATGTGAAAACCTTCCGGAAGATTTCCCAACTCTATATAAATCTCTTAAGGCCGCCCACTACACCAAAATACAAACCACACGCATAGAACAAGCGGTGTGCCTTTCGGAGTTGCTCTGTGATTTCATCCAGCAATGTCCTTCCAAAGCTCTTGCCCTGCACCAAGTTTGTTGAGAAGGTGAGATCACAAGAGAGCCGGTGGAATCTTCAGAAAGAATCATCACATGTCATCAATGTCATCAACTCATTGATGTCGTGATATTCGGTGGCTTTGGGTGCTGCAAACAAAATCAAAGGAGGTGGGGTTCATGACTCTTGCATTCACAGATATTCCCAGTACTTCAACACGGGCTTTGCCCCTTCGCAATCCTTCGCACCTCGCGGCATGGAGGCACCCGTTGAAGAATCAATTGCACATCAGGCAGGCACTGATGCAGCCTGGATCAAGCTATGTGGCTTTGAGCAAACTCCCAAACCTAAACATCGCAGAATACCCGAGCCTTCCAACTAAAATGTGCTCGTCTACATCTCCGGCAATGCTAGCATCGTGCATCCAAACAATGCACCCAGTTGGCCGCGGAATCCTCGAACTCTTCACAGGAAACAGAATGAAAACCACATGGTCCGACTTGTTCCAATTGCATCCAATTTCGAATCAAATGTCTTTTTCGGACTGTGGTTCGCTCTTGCGAGGGCAGTCTGGTACTTTCACTCGCCATCAATCCATCAAAGGAAATCAATCCAATGCCCTCCTTCCTGCCAAGGTTTTCCATTTACCAAGTTTCGAGACTACTGGGCAGGGTTCTTCCAGTCTTTGTGGAAGCAGCTGCCGATAGAAGTCCATGATGTCTTCAAATTGCAAGGTGCTCAACTGATGTCTCAATCCTTTGAAAGTAATCAAATTCACCTTCTTGTAGCCCAAAGCTGCCAAGGCTTTGCCTCAGCTGCACCAGAATTGATCAGAATTGTCCAAAGCTGTGCTGATAGGATCAAGATGGATCAAGATGGATCAAGTTATGTCAAGTTCAAGTCCAAGGCGCAGCTGCTTCGAGCCACTTCAATGGGAACCATGGAATCATCAAATCCATGGCACATCAAAATGGGCATCTCCCACCTTTCAGCTGCCTCAGCTGCCGGCATCCCTGAAGATAGCCATCCAGCGACAGAACAAATGCCAGCCAAAGTGTGAGGGAAGGAGAGGCCAGCTTGCAACGCCAACGCTCCTCCTGCCACATCAAATGTAAAAAAGAAAGCAGGGCGAACAGTGAGTGAAAAAATGGAGACACACAGGAATATCATGCAGTGTTGAGTCCTCAGTGGCTTGTTAGGAAATGAATGGAGTTTTGTTAGAAACAGGATGTTAAGTGGGGTTTTTTAAAATATCGAGAAGAAGGACTTCAATTGGCAGTATTGTTCAAAGCTATGGAGGGCTCAGGGCTGTTGTGGTGCCTCCTGGTGGCTTGAGGAGGCTGCTTGAGTGTGAGCATGTCAACTTTGGTACTTTCTACATAGATCATAGATCCAGTATCTTCTTTGGCGTAAACGTGGCAGACTGTGATGCCCAAGGACGTGGGGATAGGGCATGATTTCTGCACGGCTGACGTGAAAAGTGGACTCCCTCACCGCAAATGTCGATTGTCGAGAGACAATAAAGCAATTATAGATAGAGAATAATAAAGCAATGACTTCGTGAACGCCGGGGAAACACAAAGGCAAATCTGGATATTTCAGGTGCCTTGGCTGAAACCGCAGAGTACAATGCGCTCCGGAGGAAATCCTGCCAGGATGCAAAGCTGTCAGATTTTGAGGAAAGCTGGCAGAAGCAGCTCGTATTGCATATACTGTCTACTTAACAGTGAGGATATGTGAGGATCCAATCTCCTCGACAGATTATCCAGGTACTATACATGACATAGAGTTGCATACGAAATGCAATCAATACATTGCAGAGCCTTTTTAGATTTTTTACAGGAAATGTCATTGTTTATTCTGTAGAATCGCCATGGGCAATTGTAGCGCTTCAAAAGACACCTGCTTCAAGGAGCAAACGCCATGCTTGGCACCAAGAGCAAACGCCATGCTTAGCTTAGCCCAATCCCCTGATGGCCTCGATCTACAGCTGCTTGTAGCAAGCTGTGGATACCTCATCTCTGAATTGCAAAGAGCAAGAAAAATTACTGGTATTGGATTCAACTTCCCTTTCACCATGTTTCAACTGTTTCAAGTAGTTTCTGCAAATACTGGCCGATGCCTTTAGTACTGGACGAGGAACGGTCGATAGCCTCCTGCATGCCCGCATGTTCCTCTCCGTCAATGATAGGCTGTCGATGCAAATCGAACCAACCTTGGAAAAAAGTTGCCAGGAAGTAGGAAGAGGGGTGCGAGGGAAAGGAGTTTGAGGTATTTGGAAACAACTAAGCCACAACTAACAAGTTGAATCAAAATGATATGAAACTCTTGCGTATCCAAGATTCGCTTGAGTCTCTTTTGAGGAAGCATCGTCAATTCTCCAATCTCCTTGAAATTGGAATAGGTATGCCCGTTCGCAGGCGTCTCACAAATTGACTGTTGCAGGAAGAACCAAACGGATCCAAAATCCTTAAATAGATCAACATTTTTGTTGCAAGATCCATGGATGACATCGACCAAGGTCTGAGTCAAGGAGCTGATTCTGGCAACAGCCATTTGACCCAGGGGAAATGGTACCGAATCCTCGCACCAACGTAGCTCAGCAAAATTGTTGGGAAAATCAGTGGCAGCCAACCTCTCCTGGTTGCGATAAGTAGCTGCTGGATGTGACAAGCACAGGATTGCCTCTGCAGAGGTTGGCATTCTTTGAAGATTGTTGACATGACAAACAGATTGCTGGGCGAATTTGCGTGAATCGTTGAGCAAATAATCTCATCTCAGTTGCAATCCATGCAGCCATATCACCAGCGCAGAAGCTTCCATGAAGCACAAGAAGACACGGGAAGCATCAACCAAAAGAAAGGTGAATCTCATGAATCATGAGTTCAAGTTCAAACAAGGCAGTCTTACTTTGTGTAGCCAAGCTCCGCTATTAACAAAATTCCCTGTTTCGTAAGACGTGATGGATGTGTTGCCTCTGACGTTTCTAAGCATGGTCTGGCTCAAATCTGCGGGAGCAAATCAAGAAGCCAGGATCATGTGAACCGTGAACAGCAGACATGATGACAGCTGCAAGCTCTCGTGGCTAAAGCGGCCCAAACGGCCATGGCATTCGCATTCACTGAGGAGCCCGCTGCGTGCTTCTGTCACGCTAAGGTCAATGGACTTGAAATATGCCTGGCGATGATGCAACATGATGCAACAATATTACCGTAAGTAGTGTGCGGAAACCGCCTTCTCAGCATCGAATTACAGAAAAGTCTGAACAAGTTTGGGATCTATGCAAGCCATGTAAGTATGCAATAGTGTGTGTGTGTAATATATATGTGATATATATATATCAATTTAGAATGAAATAGACTGTAACAATAGATTCAATAGGTCTTACATGAATTTACATCATCTTATAATATATCTTACTTTGTAAATGCTGTCCTTATCTGTGCATATACTAACCGATATTACATATGAATCATATGATATTGCAAACGATCATCACCCGACTGTCGTTGACGGGTTCGGTTCGTGGCCTCCATCACAGGATTGTCCAGCTGCCCTTCAAACTGCTCCCATGTCATCTGCCCAGACCTTGGCGAATCGAACCCCCCCCCTTTTTTTCACAACGTTCCTAGGGAAAATGATGATGATAAAACATGATAAAACCATAACTCATATAAAGCCAATACATTATATATATATAATTATATATATAAACCAGTGTATATACCATGGATTTGGGAGTTAAGTATAGTAAACAGTAAACCCATATCCATTCTGGCGCAGTTCCAATTCAGAGGATTCAACGTCAACTCTTTGGTACCAGGCTCGTTAATGTTCATCTGTTCCACAATCTCTCGCATGCGGCTCACCTAGAGATCCCGGCTCAAAACCACTGTACAGCAAGGTGGCTGGAATTGGTTAATGAGAAACAAATGTCAGAAAATAAGACGATATATCATATAACCGTATAATGACGTAATTATATGTAATGGGCGCGGAATTAAGTTGGCATTTTTTTTTGTTGTTTTTTTTGGTTCGGGGTTGGGTTCCTTGCTTTTTCATTGCTTTTCCAGCAGTCTTCATCAATTTTCCAATTGTTTTCGCTAGTTTTCCAGCGTTTTTCTTCCATTTTCCATAGTTCTCTATGATTTTCTAGCGCGTTCCATCAGTTTTCCATAGTTTTCAAAAATTTTCTAGCGTTTCCCTCAGTTTTTCTTCAAAAGCCAAAAGCCAGAAGCCAAAAAAAACAAATGCCACCCCTCCACTTTGTAATTATATGATACTACTCCTTTTGACAGCTCAACTGTGCCAGCACGACAAGGGGAATGGTCTGCACAGAATGACATGCGTGCAAGAGTATGCAAGAGCGCTTGTTAATACAAGATAGGCCTGAAAGAGCAGGTTGGTCTAAGTCCGACACGACTGTGACTGTGTTTTCCTCCTCGCCGGAAGGAAGCGGAAAAACACGACTTTGACGGAAAGCACGGATCGTTCGCAGGGTCAAAAGTGCAATACATCATATAATACAGTATTTAATAATACATCTATTGTCGGAGGTCCCGTGCGCTTGCCATGGCAGACTCGACAAAGACGCCTGGAAGCCAAACAACTGCTGTCCAAATGGGCACGCGAAACTATCGCCCTACCGAACTAAACACACTACATTTCCAGGTGCCTGTGATCACGTTCAGCCTCAGTTGATAATTCTGACAAAAGATGTTGGATTGCGGCTTCCCAAACAAGCAAACACACTTGGACATAGAATTGATTGAATGTGTTGTACAGTTCCAAATCATTGATGTTCCCGCTCTTCCAAATGGGGTGGGACTGTGGGCCGGGGTACCAAGAATGCCTGGATAACAGAATCGTTTATCTGTATGCACTTTTGAGATATATCAAGGTGCAATCAATGTGAGATTCACATTCGGCCACTACGAATGCTCAATCATTGAAAGCATTTCAGCATTTCAGTCTCAAAGGATCTCAAAGGCATTCAAAGGCTTCATTTCTTGCACAAGCTTCCAAAGTGGTCAGACAGTCTTCAACTGGGGTCTAGACATTGCCAGCGCCGCAAATGCAATGTAGACGGCCTGGCTGTGACGACGGCAGTCTGATATATTCCCGTGTCAATTCAAAGAACCAAAAGCATGAATCGAATCCAAGTCACAAAGACGAGACCCATGACTGCTGAATGTCTCTCCTCGACAAGCAGACTTACAATACCACAGCATAGTACAGCCACAGCCTACAATTCACCAACCGCGTGTGTGTTTTACTTCTCAGAGATCTACTAACGGCAGTGATGCATCCCTCCAGCTGACCTCACGCGTCATGGCAACTCTCCAAATGAACCATTCCATCGTTCCATTCATTGACATTGATCACTTGATCCCGGTTTCCATTGTCAGAGTGGCTGGATCCGACATTTAAATACATTTAAGACGTCCAGGTCTGATTCAGGTCTGACACGAAGGTTTGGGAAGGTTTGTGAGTGCGAACTCTTAGCACAGGGCTCCGCTTGTGATTGATTGGTAGAGCGACATGACCTAGCAAAAGAGCACAAACGTTTGACAAACATTATCAAAGATGCACAAGTGGCTTCAGCAACATCTCAGGGCAGCGCTGATCTCATGAGCGATCCGTAGAACCTGGGGTGAAAATGATGAAAGCCCACAGCTCCAAAATGGGGAAATGGATGAAAATGGATGAACATTAAATAACATTAACAGGCATTAATGAACATTGGATAAGATCGACTCATTTTGGCTTCTGCTTCTGGTATCTTCCATTCAATTTGGTCAATTTTTTCTGAACTTGATCAACTTCTTCTGGCTGTGGCTTCCGGCTCGAAGGTGTCCGTTCCCTCCTGCAAGAGCTGCGGCCTCAGACGTCAAGTCACTCGGGAGCTCACTCGGGAGCTGACGGAGCTGACGGAGCTGGGGCTTCCCAACGACTCGGCAGCGACGTCGGCGACAACTTGTGTGAAGCAAATGCCCACAACGAAAATCCTCAGCTGTTGAACCCGTTGAACGTTAAACGTTCACCAAGAGAGTTCACCAAGAGAGCACCTTCTGCTGAGATGCCGGCAACAAAAGAAGCAAGACAACTGTCCACAGCAATGATGTCATCCTTAATGTGCGTGAGTTCAGACCGGTTCATGCCATCTTCGAACAAATGCAGAGAAACATTGACTTCTCACTAGCAAGGTACGTTGAGGCAATCGATTGCACCAAGGTCCTTCATGATGCAGCAACGATTCAAGCCAGTCTCAGAGTCACCTAGATTATCCTAGATTTATATTCCTATCTGTTGCTTCCGTATCATCAACATCGAAAAATGAAAAAAAAATGATGTCCTGAGTTCACGGATAAGGCGTAAGACTCTAACCTGGCACAATTGGACATTTCTGATGCAGCATGAAGACCAGATAAGACCAGTGTTCACCTGTAGAACAGCCAAGCTTAACCTTTTCAGCTACTCATTTCACTCATTTCTCCTTCCTAAAACATCTAAAACATGTCCAGAAGGCCAGCCGGACAATCCGAACCAAACCTCCAACGCCAAGATTTCAGAACCGTGGCTGAGCACTGAATCGGGAAGCTCAAAGAATTCAGAGTCCCGAACGCAACACCCTCAAAATCCGCATGAAGCTGAGGTTGACAGAGCGCGAGTTGTCTGCCCCAGTGTAGGCCTGATTCACTATCAAGAAGTCCCAGACATTCATATTCAATTATGTTGAGCGAGGTAATTTGAATGAAAGATGTGCGGTCAGATGCCAACCAGCACCAGCAAGAGCAACAGCAGCAACAACACAACAGCAGCAACAACAGCAGCAGCAACAACAACAACAACAGCAACAACAGCAGGAACCCTTGGGGCATCGCCGGTGTGCGGAGCCCTACAATAATTGGAAGTATATTGCTATCATTTGCCTCATGTTCTGCTTTTGGAAAAGACATGTCAAACATTCCGAGCTCTTTCTTGAGGAAGGATAAGCTCTGTTGGTCTCAACAAACTGGAAAAGGGATTGCGGGCCTGAAAAAAAAACATTTCTTGATTCTGCTGTAGAGTAATTTTGCTATTGCTGTGCTCTGGGTGGTGCTAGCAGCAATGTGGACTCAAAACAAATCTCTGCAGTGTACAGCAGAGTCCATGGTTCATCTTGAGGTGGTGGCAGCTGCAGTCACAACTTCCTCACCTCAAGGCAAATCAAGTGAAGACATCCTGTGCTTCTATGCTCCTGTGTTGCGTACTGATCTGAAGGAACACGAGGGTGAAATCAAAGACATTCCATTTCCACCTTGGAGTGTCGTGAAACTCAAGAAGCAATACAACGTGGGACGGACATCTGCAGAGGTGAAAGTAGAGTTAAAGCATTATAAAACTATGAACAGTTTAAATGATTCAAATCTATGTTTGCAATTGGACTTGCGAGTGACACTCAGCAAACTCAGTGATCAGCCCAGGTTTTGTGAAGAAATCCAAGCGGTAGGCAAATATCCGCAGGACCTAAGAGATACGCAAAATGCTATAGCTGCTATGCAGAAAGTGTCAACGATGTTTGTTGCCAGCTGCACTTATGGGTCGCGTGCCAATTCAATGGTGAAGATGACACCAAGGACAACGGCAATCTGAGATCATGCAGAATCGCATAGGTCAGTTTTTCCACCGACTGCTCAAGCACTGACAGAAAAAGGAGTCTTCTTGCCGAGAGACAGCTGAGATTTTGGAACATATCACAAGTCCACCACAGCATCGTAATAACACAATGCCATTAGACATCATTAGACCACGCATCGATGTACCCCGGGAAAACTTAGACTGGCATGGTCAGCTCTAAGATCAGCTCTGCGCGCACAGCTGGTGGCTCCATTGCACCAGTGCGTGCACTCTGAACCTCAGATGTTTAGATCGGGGAGCAGGTCGATATCAATAAAGTCCAGACACAAAGAACATCCAGGGACAAAAGCGGTTTTTGAATTCTGGCTGAAAATGAGCACTTGGTTTACTTGAGACATAGATTAAGAGTGAATTGAATTGCTGCTGTTAGTTCCACCAATGTGAAGCTCGTCGAAGCAAATCGAGAGATCCTTTCACAGGACTACACCATTATATAGTTTGAGCGCAGGATGAATTTTTGGCTACGGAATGAGGGAGTGTTTCCAGCTGTTGTGATGCAAAATGATGGAAAGTGTTGCCTTTGGTGAATGATGAATGCGTGGATACCATGCACTCCTCAAAACTAAGCGAGCTGCGGCAAGATCTGCTTGAATGCCCATCCTGATCAAGTATTTGCAGATATGTGAGAATGGACTTGTGTCTTCTGTGTCTTCTCTTCTGGCTCAATTATCTCTTCTTGTGTGTGTGCGTCTACATGTACATTGTACATGTGTGGTCGGGGTGAGCAGCTTCTAGTTCTGAGTTCCGAGTCAAGGACAGAATTGCATTTGCGAAAATTGCCAAACCTCGGCTGCTCGATTGTTTGACTGTAGGTTTAGTGTCTAAAGTTTTCGACAGATCTGACATATCTCTGGTTCCCACCCATAATATAGTCGAAGGCCTCCAAGCTGACCTCGTCGCGTGTCGAGCGATATATCGAGCGATAGGAGTCCAGCCACAGTACTGAAGCTGAACTGAGCAACTGACAAGCCATTGGCACTTCTTCTGCAAAAAACTCCATCGGGATAAACCTTGTGTCAGACTGATTCGCACGGACACAACCTACCAGAAACCGAGGAGCAAGCTTGAGGCTTCCTCCTTCTCATTTTCGTCTATTTCCTCGCATCCTCCCAGTTTGGCAGCGAACAACTGTGAGAAGCTACCCAGCACAACATTCACCAAGCTTTTCTGCCAAGCTTTTCTGGCAATCTGGCGAGCAGCATTGCGCATGCTTTAACCAGCAGTCCTCCAGTCTCCGGAGCGAATCTGCTCATGTGATGCCTCATTGACTTCACAAGAGCGTCAACGCGATAAAGTAATATAAAGATATAGATATACATATAATATACATATATTATACATATATATATATATACTGTCGCATACTGTATATGAAGTAGCTGTTTCCATTTTCGGAGTGACAAATCAGACTTACGCTCTCCTTTCTTTGTACACTGTCCAAACAGCGTGCAAGAGACTCTCATGTTCTCTCTATCGTCTGAGTTTCAAACACAAAGATACTTCGGGGCTGACTCAAGGCTCTGGAGTTTTTCTTTTCCCCCTGCTTGTGGCCTCTGACTGTTTGAGGCGCACAACTTCTGTAAGTTCAATGCCCGGAATTTGATGGTCCCCAAAGTAAGGCACTTGGAGTGATATGGTGCATCTGTGGTCAGCTTTCGGTGTGCTCGGTATTGGATATTGAATTATATATATATATTGATAGTGCTGGTACATGTTGAGGGTCCTTCTCAAATTCAATATCCATACTATCTCCAGTGCTTGCGCTAGTGTCTTGCCTGGTTGGGCAACAAAATGTCTTGTTCGGATATAGAGCATATGTTCATTGGTTTCCAATCTGTGACATCTCAGTCACGCTGCTTCAAGCTACAACAATTGCACGCCTTCATCAGCATCCTCGTCGATCTTTGCACCCAAACCCGCCTGGAGTTGGGCATGGAAATTCGGGCTTCACAGGAGATCCATGGAGATCCATGGAGATCCCATGTAGGCCATCTCAATTTGACTGAGTCAAGCACAGCGTCCATGGTGGCAGAACGAGAGAAGCCAAAACCTGTATGAATTGGAAACGGGATCGTCAAATGCCCAACTTTTACCACGGCAGCGCGGTATGACTCAAGGGCCCTAAAGCCAAATGTCAACGGGGCATGTGATCACTTGGCTATACAAAATATACATTAGACAGGTCAAACTCACACTCAACCTGTTCTTCAAGGATCACATGATGCTAGTGAAAAAGTTGGCTCTAAGGCTTCTTCTGTACACGGTAAATGCACTGTAGGATGTAGTCTTGGGGTCTTTGATCTCATTGATGTCTCCAAGAAAATGGAAACGTCCTTGTTGTGATTTGTAGTTCTTCTCGTTTGAAAATGAAGCATCTGTTACTGTAATGATACCAACCTCTCCCCAGGTTAGATGTCCACCTGGAAAAATGAGCTTGTTCTCAATGCCTACGGCATTTGCGTCGTGCAAAATAGCAACTGTCGCTCCAGAAATACTGGACTGTAGGCGGCTCACACGATAACCCAAATCGGGTCTAGTCTGTCTTGCCACCCATGCCAATGATCCCGTTACAGACCGTAATCGGGTCACATCATCCTTACCCAACGGCTTGGACGCTGATCTTCCTGGCGCGATCTTGATCGGCTTGATGCGACGGGTGTTGTCGCAAGTGTCTTGTGTGATGGTTCCATCTGCAGTACGCTCAAATTGCTTGCCACAATAGCGAAACGAATTTGATTCACTTGATCCCAAGTTGAACTTCTCCAAGAAGCTGTCGATCACTGACTTTCCCTCAGGAATGTATGCGTACAAGATGTCATCCACATGTGTCGCCATAAGTGCAACGCAATCTTTGTCGGTTCCTGGAAGGAAATACAATCCTGGGTAAAACTTGGATTGTTTCAAGCCACTGGATCGGGCATCTCCGTCCAACCTCAACCAAAAACCTCGACGGCTGTCAGTTAATCCATATATAGGCACCCGCACAAGGAAAAACACCTCTGGATCAACTCCCGGGAGACCTCCTCGGGGTTGTCTCATAATGAGAACTCTATCAAGAGGACGACCTTGGAAATATGCGGATGCGACGTCCGCACTGTGCAATTGTGCGCCCTGGATCGCCGCCCAACAGCAAAGAATGTTGTGAGCTTCCGTATCTGCTGTAGGACTGTCTGATCTCAAACCTTCACTGACTTCGAAATTGCCGCATGATACCAACCGGCTCTTGAACTTTGGCACATATTCTTGATCTGATCTTCCTTTCATGAACTGATTCTTGTCGACATCAACCCACTTGCTAGGAATACATTGATGTCCTTCAGCAATCAACCTCTCAGCATCTTCTTTTGAAATTTCAACAACAGCAGCGAACTCAAGGAACTTGCTCCACTCCTTGGTTCTGGCATCCATGATGTTCTTCTGTACATCAGGTGACGCTGATTCATAGTGGATTGATTTCAACACTTTCTTACCTTGCTCTTCGTCCTCAGGGACTTCAACTTCCTGGGACAAAAATGATGCAAACAATGCTCGTGCTTCTTGTTGTTCTTCAGGACTTCGTTCTGAGTCTCTCTCACGAGCTCTTTCAAGATGTGTTCGCAATTGATGCGGCAAGTCATTCAAAAGTTCCCTTCGCAATGGCCAAGATGATGCTGACGGCGAGGATAGTGGTCCCAAAACGGAGCCACTTGGAGTAAGATCAGGCACAAAGGAGTCTCTTCGAGATGGCACAAGTGATGAGCCTCTCTCCGACTCAGGTTGTAACTGAGATTCTACTCGAGGTCTCACGTTGCGTTCATGACCTCCATCTCCTGGATGTGGTCTTTCAACTCTTCTCTCTGGGGTTCTACTCTGTGAGAAAATGTCTTCTTCCATAGGACCAGTGTCTTCCCCCTCTTCACCTTCTTCAAAGAAACCGGGTCGTATGTCCCATTCATCTTCAGATACTTCTGGTATAGGAGGGAGTGCTGAATCCACATTGCCTTCATGGACAACCTCAACATCATCTGCTTGTCCTGGACCATCACGAACAACTTCAACCTCATCTGATTGTCTTGCATCAAGAAACGCTTGTTGACCTGTATCATTGATGATCTTGTATGGAATCACAGGTTCACCATTCAACACTGATTGAGCAAGAGCCTCAGAAGAAGAAGCAATGCGTATGTTGTGAGAAGCTACAAGTACTGGAACGTTACCACATAGTAACCATATGTTCTTCTGGTTCTCGTGTCCGATCACACGGCATGTTGGTGACCAGGACGTTCCTCCTCGTTGATTGTCTCGTCTGAAAGTGACGAGATCACCAATGTTGAACTCACGGTCAAACACACTGGCATTGCGTGTCAACGCTCGTTGAACTCTTCTTGAACAATCAAGATGAACAAAAGCCTTTTGTGCCTCAATCCTGGCCAAATGTTGTAATGCAAAAATTGATGAAAGATCATGTCGGGCCTGAATGGCTCCGAGCTGTGCATGGTCTTCCTCAGACATGAGTGAAGCTACACCACGTGGAGCTCGACCAAGCACCCACTGAGATGGAGAAAAGCCTCCAACACGTGCAGAGTCGTTCTTCACACTGAGCACTTGTGTGATGCACGACTCAACCTGTTCTTTGGTACAAGCCCCAACTTCTGTACACACTCGTCTGAAAAGAGCTTTCAACAAACCACCATGCCTCTCTACTCGGCCCAATGATTCCGGGCTCTCAAGGGGCACATGGTGCACTTGAATGTTGTGTTCATCCATGTATTGTTGCAAGACACCACGATTGTGCAAACCTCGAGCACGCATGATAGCAACAGGATGTCCTGCCCAACTGAACCAACGTTTGATGAGTGCGTCCAAACAGGATCGCGAAGAAGCTTGACCTGCTCCAACCTTCACGACTTCAGCCTGTTGAAAACAAGTACCAATGCAAACCATGTTGAGAACTTGATACTTCTGCCCAGTTATATCTGTCAACTCCAGTACATCAATCCCCAAAGTATGGTTGAATGTATAATCACTTGGAAGCGTAACTTTGTGAGTGGGTTTCTTTGCTGATGTTTTCTCACATGTTTCACATCTATGCAACTTCACTGCATCAACAAACTCCTTACTCACCTTTGCAGCACGCACCAGATTGACCATCACCGACTTGGGGACATGTCCAAAAGCCCTGTGCAATCTACGCACAGCAATCCTGACACGCTGGGGAAGTTTGCGCCAAGACCTACGTCTTTCTGTTTCATTCTCTGGCAAACCAGGGATATCAACTTCATCCAAAAGAGTCTCTTCATGTGTCAGGTCCTCAACCGGATCCTGCAATGCAACATCTTCTGGGCCATCGACTGCATCCCAGTTCCCACCATGTTCCTGAGCCTCTTCGATGATCTCTGCTGGAAAGGCAACGCTCATCTGCTCCTCCAATTCACGTTCAAGTGACCAATCACGAATCCATTGACAAAACTCCCAATTCAAAACGTCATCCAATTGTCGATACATAGACCAGTCTTGAAAACCTTGAATGAGCTCATCATCATTTGACACAAAAGCAAGACCAACTTCGTTGATATATGGAATCTGTGGTGTTTTGAATGATTCCCATCGTTCAGTGTGCGCGACATCAACAATGAGAAATCTACACCCTGTGGCATCACAATACTGTTCCAACTCAAATACAAGATCCCCATGACACAGTGGATAATGTTCTGAACTGTACTCAATTGCAACAATGATCAATGTGCAACCTTCGAACATGTCACTCCAACCACGTGGCTCAGCATCGCCGTCCAAATACGCGGCATTCACACCGACGTCATAGGTGTGCTCAAAAAGATCCTGGAAAAGAGTCGGGTGTGACGTGATGACTGCAACCCCTGAAGTTCCATTGGAAATTTGAGGCTGCATCCCAAGACTGGACTGCATTACCCGGTCATGGTTGTTGAGATTGTTGATACCTTCCAACACCATCTTCCTGTGTTTCTTGCTCATAGTCCTCCTCTCATCAGGATGGACTGTCAAATCAACGTTGGGATCAAAACGCACGGCCATGAAACCAGTGGGAGAATACTCATAGTCATATTCATAAGAATCGGAATCATCCTGTTCCAACTTGGGCGTCAAGACCTTTGGCTGGGGCTTCGACTTCACTGCATACATCCTTTTGGGTTCTGAGGATTTCATCTCAACTTTTGGATTCAAAGACTTTTCAAAATCATCCCTTATATCCCTCAGTTTTTTGTTGTGGGGGTCAACTTGACACGAACGCCCATGCATGCTCCCCTCCCGGAGTCATCGAACACCCCAGGTGGGTGGTGAAACACAATCACATCGATCCACGAGTTGTCCAAACGTACCATTGCCTTGCTGTCAACGTTGTCTTCAATGAGTTCCCAATTGCCTCCATTGCGAGGTCTGCACCACGTAGATCGCTTCCAGTGCTTGATGCCATTCGAGACCTTGATAATCCGATTGGGCCGGATATGATCTCGAATCAGGACGTTCATTCGAACTCCTTCCACCAGTGGATCTTCGCCATCTTTGCAAATCCAAAAGAGCCGATCCCTGTTACCCTCACGGATGCAAAAAGACACAACTTCGCTAAGGAGCTCACCGTCCAATGTTGTCACTGACACGTTCTTGTTGTCGAACGCTCCATCTGATGCCAAATTGTTTCGGATCAGTCGCTCAAGCTCATCGCGATCATTGGGAGGTTCTCGAGATCGTTGTGGCAACGTTGATCGGGGTCCGTCATCGGCCCCTCGGGGTCCGTCATCGGCCCCTGGTACATCTGAGATATGTGGAGGTGGGTGATCTGGACTCCTTGGGGCAGGTCTCGAAGAAATTGGCCTTGATGGAGCTGGTCTCGAGGTTGGGCTTCGATCTCTTCCCAAGCTCCTTCCCCTGGATGCTTGTGCGTGTCTCCAAGGTGGCAGCTTCTTGCGGCTGAAGCTCGGGGATCTCCTGCGCCTTGGAGGTGAGGGCGGCGTCGGCAATCTTCGTCGACGCAAAGGGCTCCTTGATCTTCGTCCTGTTTCAGCCATCCTTTTGATCTCAACCTGTTCTGTCCGAAGATGTCCAACGTCAGTTGCAAGCCCTTGTACCAAACGTCGAATCTCATCAAGTTGATCTGATGTAGGATGACCTGCAGTGGGATGATCTGATGTAGGATGAGATGAATGTTCACCTGAGGCATCATCGGCTGGAGCGTCACGCACGTCACGGCCTGAACTCACACTGCCTCGTGATCGTGCCAACCTTGACATGTTCGGGATCAAATGTCGAATTTGTCCCAAGCTCGCAGCCATGTCTTGACAACCATGGCAAACACCACCACAACGCATCTCGCCCCACTTCCAAGATGATGCATGAATGAGAACAACGTCATAACCAAGAACTTTGAGACACCTGAAGGCAGCAAATCCTTGTCCCACTGACCTGTGGCGGCCTGACTTGCACTCCAGGTCCACCAACACCTTGCTGTTAGCCTCCTGCTGAGTGACGAACTCCAGGATGTTGTTGAGATGTTGAATGAACCTGTCCACCTTGCTCAGCGTCTCAAGGATTCCATGATGCCAACCCACGTGAGATCTAAGGTTTACGTCCTGATCAGGATCGTAAATGTCCTCACAGTTGATGCTCAAAGTGTTCCTGCTAGTTCTGCACGCATGTTGTTGAAATCTACGCCCACGAGTCATGATGATCACCTGCCTGTCACTGCGCAGTTCCTCATTCAACTTCGTCTGCAAGATGTCATAGTCCCTCGAATGAAAACCACACATGTCATGGTCGGCCATGGCAACTTCCGATGTGGATGCTGTGTATGCAATATTGTACTTTCTGTGACACTTCGGGATTTGGGGAAGTTCATTTGGCGGTGTGTTGTTGATGTTGGTCAATCCTTCAGTCAAGTTCATCACAAGTAAACCTGATTTTGAACACCTCTTGATATTCAATGGTTGATCTTTGATGGAAACCACTCCTTTTGCTAGGTCCTTCACTAGGCCTAATTTGGTTTGTGCATGCAATGAAAGAAGCAATGGACTGTTGCCTGTTGACAATTGATATGAATCCAATTCACCATTCATGTTCCCGTCTGGAAGCAGCAGCGAAAAAGGAATAGATCTCACACCTTCGGTCTTGGTATTGCCACTTCCCAGACCAGCGAAACTCTTACAACTGTCATCCTTCAATGGCATGCTGTAACCTAATCGGGCCAGTCGTGCTTCTGCATCGACTGCCCAGGCTTTGCTATGACAAGTGCTGTTGCAACCTTCATCCAATACTGCAAAAACATGGGGTGACTTGGCAATGTCAACAGTTTCATAGTTCATGTAAACCAAGTCTTGAGGGTATTGAGTGTCACTTCCATGCAAACAAATGCCAACGTACCCAGCTAACTCCCTGCCCGAGGGGTCGCCGTGCCCATCTTCATTGACAAGAGAAAAACTGTCCTCTTCCTCTGTCACGTCATTGATGGCTTGATGCAGTAGTTCATGAAGTCGTGCACGGGTCATCACCTCAGATTGACAGGTTTCGGTAACAAGAGTGGCAAACAGGGGCAACAACTCTTCCAACTGGACTGGATTCAATCCATCCGATTCTTCAACCAATGATTCAACAATGGGGACTGCTCGAACTGATGCTGTTTCAACCTTCTTGGCAATTGCAACACGCTCCTTACGAATCTGCATAGGAGCTTCATCAATGAACGTGCAACACTTCTTGCAGAAAGTATGGTGTGTTGATTTGCTGGATCCCCGAAAATCTGTGTCGTCATGAGGGCAATTTTCAGGGGACATCAACGGTACCATGTCACGTCTTGTGGTTTCGGAATGACCGCACACAAGACAGGTCTTCCTGATGGTGTATCCCGTAGAACCTTGTTTTGTAAACTCACGACATTCCTGACACTTGTTCGGCAAAGGTGGATTTGGGGGTTTCCTCCTGCCAGTTTCCCGAGTCACCAACAAATCTCGGTGCTCGACATGCTCAACAGGGACTTCGCGCAAGTGAATCCCATCAGCACCAACTACAAAGTACTTGTCAACCCAATTCAACCATGTGACATAGTATGGACTCTTGGGGGTATGTTTCTTGGCATGATGATAGTACCCTCTGTTCAAACAACACATTCCAAAAAGACAAACCCTTGAACTGTCCAACAGGAAAGATGCACCCATGGTCCTCGGGTCTCATTGTAACATCGAGATCCCGGGAAATCAAGCCAACGTTGCTGCTGGATGCTGCTGCACGTGAAGGTCTGCTGCTAGGCTTCGCTTGTCGAACTGCCATCATAGCAACTGCATCTCTGTCACGATCAGGTGAAGCTGTCAGAGTCACACCATCGTCATCTGAAGAATAACTCATATCGGCAAAGTGAGCTGCGGGCTTTGGGGCTGGCTTCCCAGGAGCTCCAGGTTTGGACCCCGGGAATTTACATTCCGGGTCACCGGCCCAGTGCCCTATGACTCCGCATCTCAAACATTTGCTCTTCGACTTCAGCTCTGTGAGCTTCCGTCTCCTCTGATCGATCGTGAGGTTGGACTTCACGATCTTTCCTTTCCCCTTTCCTTTGGGCTTCCCGAAGGATTTTCCCTTGCCACCTGCCTTCCCCATTGCGGTGAAAGCAGCAAGTTGTAGCTGGATGGCGTCTCCTGCTTGTCGATCATCTTCTGCACCTTCAAGTTCAAGCAAGCTGTTCAATGCAACTGCTTCGTACTCATCGACATCATCAAAGTAATCAAATTCGTTGTCACCTTCTAGGTTTCCTGGCTCCTCTTCTGCAATGTCACCAAGCATGCCAACATATGAATCATCCTCCCAGGATTGATCCACAGCTTCATCCCAAGATTCTGCATGTTCCTCCCCATCATCGGGGTAGGCTGCATAGGCTGCTTGGGAATACGATCCCTTCGAAGAAGGTTTGCCTTTGCCATAACCCTTGCCTGACGACTTGCCATGCTGTTGAGGATTGCCACGTCCTGTCCAGGATCGTGACCCTTCTCGCAAGTGAGTGCCACTGTAGTTCTCGATCAGCACCTTGCCAACACCTTCAAAATCCTTAGTGTCTGCACAAGCCTTCACAACGAGGATCTCTTGTCGATTGGGTCCACTCAACTCCAACATCAACTCTGTCCTCAAGCTGTCTGAAAACACCATTGTGTCATCCAACTCGCATAGCATGTGCCACCAACGTCGTCTCCTCTGAACATAGGAAAGCATGGGTTCGCCTGGTTGGCGAGACAAAGGACCACCTTGCTTCTGTCCTGCTCGAAATAATTCCTTGGCTTCCTCACGGGCTCTTGGAAACACATGGGATTTGATCTCACCCACAAGTTTCACAAGGCCACCAGGTTTGGACAACACTTCAAGTCCAAGATCCCTAGCTATTGAGAAAGCATCTCCTCTCAGTCCTTCAATCACCTTGTTAACCAATGGTCCACGATCAATGTCTGTCTTCTGCTTGCCGGACTTCGAGGATTTTCGGCTCGCTCCAGACTTCGGAGTCGAGACTGCTGATGTAGGCTGGGCTGCTTGAGTAGCACCCGACAAATCTGGAAAAGTAGCATACTCTTCTGCATCTTCTGCGGCTGGCTCTGTTGCTGTGGTCCCAACGGGATCCGCAGGCTTACTTGTCTCCTCCTCCAATTGTTGCTCATAAAGACGAATCCGAAGGAGAGTCCTGAACTGCCAATCATGAAAGTTCGCCGCATCACCTGCATAGATGTATGATCCACTCTTCGTCTCAAGTGGTGCCGACGAATGGCGTTCCTGATTGAAACGAAGGCCATTGATCGACATGATGCTCGCTCCGTTCGGAGTCGAACAAGGAAAAACGTTAACAAGTGTCTGCCCTGGTCAGGGTCAGACAGATTCCCGAACCACGACACACTCGAAGTTCAGTTGATTCCCAAAGTTACCAGACTCAAATTCACAAAGGGTTCCCTGGGTCACTGACGTACCACCGGATGCAGGTCGTCACCTGCTCCGCTACCAATATGAATTGGAAACGGGATCGTCAAATGCCCAACTTTTACCACGGCAGCGCGGTATGACTCAAGGGCCCTAAAGCCAAATGTCAACGGGGCATGTGATCACTTGGCTATACAAAATATACATTAGACAGGTCAAACTCACACCTGTAAGAAGCGAGGTCTGAGAAGCTCTTTGATGAACCGTTTGACTGTTTAATATGCATTTGAACTGCTCAAACGATGCCTGGTTTGCCCGACCTTAGTCCCAGGACAACGTATCAGAGACACCAACAATGATGAAAATGTATGAAAATGTGCCAGCATTTGCGCACTAGAAATTACGCGTCCTCCACCTGACTCAAGGGAGAATCGAGATGCGAGATTTCTGATTCTGATGCTCATGACTTTCACCCCCATCAACTGCCTGCGAACTAGCGAAACCCTCAGAAGTGGGCTGGCTCTTTGGTGTGCCAATCATCGTCATGCTTCCAGAAGGAAGAGGAGCAGCAATTCCTGGCTGCGAAAGCTATGCGAAAGCTATGGCTGAGACTTGGAAGACCTTGGAAGCTTCACTGAGGCCAAGGCCATCAGTGCCCACGTAAGTACCTCTGCAACACGTTGGACCGTTGGATCAACAAATCATCAACAAGTCATCAACAAGTCATCAACAAGTCATCTGTGTAATTCTGTGTATATCCTACAGAGTGTAGCTTTACGACCCAGAAGCAGGTTCCAGGGTTCCAGGGTTCCACTCTGGTCCGGTTTTGAGTGGCTTACTTCCATGATTCATGATGCACCAGACCCATGTTTTCGTGTTTTTTTCAGATGTTTCAACAGATTTGATTTTTCATTGGCCTCAAAACAAAAAAAGGGCAAAATGGCTGAAACGTGCCTTCCCTCAAGTTTCGTAAAATCTTTGGAATGGAAGCGGGATGGACGAAGACCAATTCTTCGAAGGCAAGTTTTTAGTCTACAGGTCCACAATCAAATCAAAGTTGGGGCTGCGTTTTACTTTCATGACAACCAGCGGAATCTGTCATATTTTCTGGGCACGAGCTTTCATTCGCATCCGAGCAAAGTCATACCTGAAAACGCAACGCTTGGTGTGGCGAGGTAAAACAAAGCATATGGTTCAGTATTGAAAAGTCTCGTCTGAAACTCAGGCACAAACTCTTCAGTCAACCTTGGCAGCTTGAAGCAGTGGCTGCAGATGTCATGAATCTATGATGCAGCAAATGATATCAATGAAGTGATGGTGAACATCGGTATAACTGTATGACTGTATACGTATGTATAACTATGTACTGTGCAAAGCGGAAAGGAGTGTCGCCGGGATGTGTTTTGACCACTCTCAGCGCTGTCTTGAATGTGCCACAACTCTCTGGCCCCCCACCAGTAGTCCACCAGTATGTGGGTCTCTTTCCAACAAGGCGTGGTCTAAGTTTAGCGCGGAGCCGTGGATAGAGTTGGTGAGGCCTGCAGCAATGCCTCAGGGCGGATTGTTTTACAACTTTGAACTCACTAAGATTGGCTCATATCCTGGGAGCACTTCAGTCCCTGGCCTCACTTCTCTGAAACGTTACGCTTTGACTCTGAGTAGGACTGACTGGAGTGATGTCTTCCTGAAACACAAGGCACCTGCTCTACAGGCAAAGTCAAAGCAAGGAATGAAAGCGGTTTGAGTTCAAACATGCAGTCCAAAGATCTCTCAAGAAATAACTTTATATAGGGAAGTAATAAGAAGTGACCATGAAAAAGCGCTCCTCCGTAGGTTTCTTCGGAAGCCTCTTTCTCTCTGGAGGACTGCTGCTCAGCCACTGAGACAGGACCATTGATACTTCCTCAGTGAGTTTGAAACTGGCGCCGTTAAGACGCACTGGCTCCAGTAATCTGCTGGAATCTGCTTGATTCGCTCTCTGCATTCAACAGATTTCAATAGTAGTTTCATGCGACTTCTGACATGATCGGACACACGCTTACATTCTTTCCTCACGCAGACGGGGTTGACCTGAACCTAGCTGCCATGGTCTGGCTTGGACAGTCCAATGGCTTTGCTTGCCGTATCATGAGAAGCTCCCGCTCACTCATGTATCCCCCCTTCTTCTAAGCTGCCAAATTCTTCGGTCTTTACTTGGCATCTTACAAGTCCCTGAAGTCACAAATCCTTATCTGTGAAGGTCATCTTTTGGAGGCTTCACACCACATTAGGAGAAGAAGGGATGAGTCCGGGATGAGTGTGATCACCTGTGGCTACTTCGTCCTACTGCAGACTGGATATGCAGACTTGGGCCATTGAACGTGGGGCGAGATTCCACCACTGTCAATCATGGCCACAAACACATAATCAAAATCACCCGTGTTCAGAGTGTTCCTGAAAGATGGGACAAATGTTCCGAAAAATGTATGATTAATATTGATGCTTAAGATGGTTTAAGATGGTTTAACGGTTTAACATGGTTTAACACTCTTTTGTAAGCACGATTTGTTGGCGGGGCGACGGCCCCGGTGATATTCAAGCACCAAGGTCTCGAGAACAGCTTGGAAGATCTATGCTATGCACAGATGATACATCAGAAATGTCATGTTCTGTTCGGATGGTGTTTGGAATTTTTCAACAAATGGGTTTAGGATGAGAAAGTGATAGAAAGTGTGGTGATGGATGATTAAATGATGATGATGTGTGATACCTTTCTGGCTTCAGCAATTTGCTCTCAGAGACCTGGTCTCTGCCGCAATGTTTAACGCACTGCCTAGCGGCCTAGCGGCATCAAAGCTCAGCCAAGGTCATTGATCACGTGCCCTGGCCATTCACATAGACCGCCCTGGGCCCGCATTTTTTGTTTGCGCAAGTCATCTGTAGACTATTCTGTACGCCAGATCTGACCACAAGCACTTTTGAGGATAAGCATTGTGTTTTGACTTGGAGTTAAGGGTGGCACAAAAACTACAGAATCTGTCACTGGAGGCAAAGAAAGGTAACGTCTCCCAGCCAGATCTTGCTTGGAACCCTAACTTCCTCCCACTGCAATTCGTTTCTCGTTTCTAGACTCCGTGATTTCTGAAGGGTCCAAGTTGCGATCGTCTCATAGGTTCCATGGGCTGCGTGCCATCCGATAATGTGCCATCCGACATCATGACAGTTAGCTGCCGATGCCGCTCCCGATCGAAGCTGAACCTTGGATGCACAGAAATGGATAGAAATGGATCATCCTACCAATAGTCCATGGTCCTGCGACGCCAGGCGGTCATCTGCAAATGTTGACAAACTTGACACAATGGGCTTCAGGCCATCAACCGCCCAACAACACTACCGCACTTCATGGGCAACGGGCTTGCCATCTCCCTGTTCTGTTTAGGTCCATTGCAAAAAGTGTGCAAAAGTATACAGATGTCCAGTGTGCATGCTTAAATAATCTCAACCGTGAAGCCATATCCTCAGACTGCTAATAAACAAACCACCCACTTCCAATTTGATGCAACTTCACCCTGGCAAGACATGGCAAGACTTATCAAGATACCGCGGAGGCCGCTGCGCATGTGGATTCATCCTGAGCTGGGCTTCTGTGTTTTCGATGTCTATTTCTTTGCCCCATCGCCTTCTACAGTCGCGTATGCAAAGATATGATATGCAAAGCTTGACCTCTCAAAATTTCTCAAAATGCGTTTGAGTCTGCATCGTAAGGTCCCCACAGCGCACGCAAGCTATTATTCCTTGGCTGATCTGGCTTGTTTCCGTGTTTCTGTGTTAGCCATTGTTAGCCAAGGTCAAAACCGTTCCGCTTTTCCCAAGGCATTGCGATTCACTGCGGCCGAGATTCCAGTCCATCTGCATCTGCTGCATTGGCAGGTCATTTGGCGCAGAGCCAAATGGCGATTCCAACTGGAGCGCTATGAAATTCTGACACCACCTGAGGGGAATCAAGAGGAATCAACTTTTTGTATTATTCTAGGAATGTTAATGAATGTTAACCACAGTGCATTCGCTCCTGCCTAACACATCACAATGACACAATGCCATACAAAAAAAACGGGTTTTGCTGCTAAGGTGCAAAAAACAGATTACCACGAAGGCCACCATTGTTGCAAGCAGTCTGCTGAGCAACATGCTACAAAGAACCTCAGGTCCCAGGTAGATCCAGGTCGCATTCGGGCAAGGCAAAAGCACTCCATCTAGGCACTGGAAACATCTGGAAACCAAGTTGCCGGAACTACACCCCAATGTAGGCACAGCATCACGATGCCTAGGTGGCCCATTCCTTCTGAAGCACGTGTTGAATCTTCTTAATGTGTGAAACGATACCTTTTTCGAAGATATAAGAAGCTGGGACGGAATACCAGAGATGCGCTGGCATAGCAAGAATATGGTGGATTCATGTACCACAGCATTGAGCATATTGAGCTTTCGAGAATTTGAGGTCAATTTCTAGTAGGTTGGTGTTTGAAAAGGGTGGCTTGATGATTAACAGTTAACATGCCTCGCAAAACACCAGAATCTGATTGGTCCCACTGGTCAAACTGGTGAAGTCAACTGATCTCTGGCAGCAGTCGCAGTCAAGCCACTTGCTTGCGCAAATGGAAACGGGAATGGAAAGTCTGCAATCTTTCCTGAGAGTCAAGTCCCAGAGTGCTTACTGGCAACAATGGGAACAAAGATGAACAAAGTCTAAATGCTCAAGGCTTGTTGCACTTGTTGCTGCTTTTCGTTTTTTTTTGTGCGGCAAGGTGCTAGCGTTTTGCAAGTTCACTACCCCTCTGGACAGCTCTTGATACGCTCGGGTAACCACAGGTGGCGCCACGACGATGACGCCATTCTGCATACTCAACCTGAATCTGGCTGCACAGGATCTTACAGGTCAAGATCTCGACCTGGTGAAAGGCAGTGAAAATAGTGAAAGAAAATCAATAATATTATAATATCATTGTAATTAATTATGATCATTATCGTTATCATTATTATTGTTATGATTATTGTTGTTATTATTATAGGTTGTTATTACTATGTGTATATATATATACAGTATATGTGTGTTTTATCAAATAAAAATTTAAATAATAATAAATTTAAATAATATGCGCACGAGCTGCGTTATCAATCTCTGGATCCATTGCAGGATGACCTCAACCTGGCAACAGCATGCAGGTCTGTGACGTAGTCCGTGTCCGTGTTAAACAAACATAATATGTTGACTGGGCACATCATGCTCAACAGCAAGAATACCAGGCCATGAGATATCCATGTGATATTCTCGACACAGTCGCTGATGTTACGGACATGTTGTAATATGGGTATGGATCAATACCTATTAATACCATTTTTAGGGGAATGAACATCCATTTACCAGCTATTTTGATGTTCACCAGGGGTACAAGGTTTTGACACACTGCCATATGTTGTGCTTCGATTCCAGTCTCCCACCGTGCCTTGTCGGTCGTTATGGCTAGCATTCTCAGACTGTCTGGATCGACTCCGTCTGGCGACAAGATCTCAAACGGCCTGGCAGAGCAACTCGTCAAAATCCACACATCACATCAGGTACCCTCTGGTAAACTAACATAGCTATTGAAAATGGCCATTTATAGTGGATTTTCCCATTAAAAATGATGATTTTCCATAGTTATGTTACTTTACCAGAGGGTACATCAAGCAACCCAGTGAACATGGCAGTGCAATCAGCCCCCGTGACCAGCACACGCCTGTCCCTATCAGGAGAGACTTGCTGTAGTGCACAGCAGTATAGCATACTCATCAGCCGGACCTTACATTTCCACTGCACATGAACGAGACTTCAGTGCAATGGTCATCACATGTCATCACATGTCATCACATGTCATCATCATTTCCACATGGTCCACACGATCGAAATGGTCAGTACAAGTCAAACATCCAAACCTGACCAAGGCGCTAGAAGATGTTGAAATTCCTCAACTTTCTTCGACATGTCTGGAGCTGGATTGCAGAAAGCCTGGCACCGCAGCGAAAGGAACAATGGCCGCTTAGCCACCTGGCTGCTACTAGCCCTGCCATGCATCTTCTTCCATTGCCAAACAAAGCTAGTCAATCAGTGTGATTTCTGTGCTTCAAATGACCAAAACCTACCAGTAAATAGCATCACTCAATTTGTCACTCAATCTTGGGAATCTGAACTGGGGCCAGCACTATAAGGCTGCTGAAGCCATTGAACCACTCACCGCGGGTCTGCTGCAGCAGGGTTCCACCCTCCCACCATCTGTTGTATGCAATCCTGCTCCTGAAGTTCCTTAGAAATTGCAACGGCACTTGAAAGTCTCGGACTTTCAGTTTCACGAGGAACTTCCACATACTTCTTCCAGCAGTCAGGCAAAGGATTGGGAGGAGAAAGATAGCCTCAAAAAGATTAGAATAACCTCCCCGAGCAGGCATCCCTGCTTAGAATACAAAATCACTGAAAATGTATGAAAATGCGAGCAAGCATCAAGACGAAGAACATGCAACTGCCTGAGTAGGACAAGTTTGGCCAGTTGTCCGGGCCTGCTTGATCTTACCTATTCAAAAGATGTTCAAAAGCACATTTTGTCACTCAGCCATCTGCAGCCTGTTGGTATGCTGTGCCCATGTCAGAGAGTCAAGGACAGGCATTGCTGGACTACTCTGAAGTGCAGTCACAGAGCTAAAGACACCTAGAATGCCCCAAGCAGTATTGGTCGTATCTGCGTCCTGTGGCAACAATCGGCACACCGTCACCGGACTGGGGAAATTTGTAGTGCTCCCAATGTTGGGCTGGAGGAAATCATTTATGCCACGGCAAAGCAGGTGCAATACTCCTGAGTATACACCTCCGCCTCATTGAGTGTGCAAAGCGCAAAGGTGGCTACCTCGGTGTCAAAGCGTTGACGGTTTCAGAAGAAAATCCGTAGAGCAAAAGGAGCGCTCTGAATTCGTTGCAGGCAAGTAGGAATCGATGCAAGCATCATGTCGAAGTGATACATCTTCGAAAACCTTGCCGATCTCAAAGAGAACCGAGCACCATGCAGCATTTGGGATTGCCATGACAACTGCCAACGGTAGCACGGATCCATAGTAGCCTTCAGTTAGCGTACCACGGCTGTCATTGTCACGCAAGCAAAGGTCAACCTGTCAGTCTGATGCTGTCCCTGTCACTGATGCCAAACTTTAAAAAAGGATTGGTTCGTCTTGGTTCATCTTGTTTCATCGTGTTTCCGTGTTTTCTGTTTTGCCAAGCAGCCCCAAATTAGGCTGAATCCCCATTTTCCGCTGATATAAAATCGCATGGCTCCAAAGCGAGGCCAGCTTCCTTTGGAAGCAGCCTGGCTAAAAATTCGTGCCTGGACCCTGGAAAGGGCTTGAGGCTATGGCGTTTGGGTGGTTGAGGGCTTAAGTGTGATGCTCTAAGGTCAAGAGTGGCTTACAAAACAGCCACAAGTGGGCGTGAAAACCTGCCAAAAACTATGCTATGCTTAGTCCTGCTTCGGGGTGGCTACCCAGCTTGGCGAGAGAGCTGTGTGGAAAGTGGGCTGAATGAATTTGGAATTTCAGATTTTTGGCCCAGGCATGTGAAACAACAGGGGCCAGTGTGCACCTATCCCGAGCCACTTGCTGCAGGGTGCGGCGAGAAGTTGGTTTACATGAGGCAATTCAAGAAAGCGAAATCATACGTGTAACATCGTATAACTTGCACAGCTGATCACACTGGTGAAGTGGTTAAAGAAATGTGACCAAATTGCTTGGCATGTTTGAAACGATGAAATGCGCATTTGCCATATGTTACAACTGCAACTACCAGTAGTGCCAACTAAAGCTGTGCCAACTAAGCGGTCTGTTTGTCTACACTTTGAGGCATTGTGATCTGCGCGTTGTTTTCTATGTCGGTGCACGTGCTGATTGTCCAGGTTGCTTATTCTTTCCACATGCTTCCAACTGGCAAGGGAGCAGGATGTATTTAGCCACTGTCCATGAGCTTTTCTTCTTCCTTCTTCCCTCTTACATACGTTGGTTGCAATGTTTGTGCCTATTTTTGCTTTGTTTGCTGAATCCACCTCCCACCACCCTTCTCATCGTAGCAAATTCGAATCGAGTTGAGGCGTGCAAAATCTATTTATAAGCAAAAAAAAAGTACCGCCACTTTCTCAGAATAAGTAAGCAAGGGGGGAGAACTGTATTCAAGGATGACTGCCAGCCACAGCAAGTGATGGCGGAGTATTCCATGAATCGCATCTTGCGGAAAAAATAATCCATAGCTGCCGTAGCTCTCGCCAATGATGCCAATGGTAATCCAATGGTCATGTGGATGTCTTGTGACTTCACTTTCAGGCTCGGACGTGCCGCAAGTCCTGGTCCAAGAAAAGTTGTGCAAGGTGTCCAACCGTTGCAACAGGAGACAAAGAAATCCATGTGTTCTATGTACATTGATGTACATTGTATGATCATATATGATCCACGCATGTGTATCTCTGTGCACAAATGTGTACAAATGTATACATACTGTATGTATACATATGTGTGATTTATGATTGATGTACACAACTTTGCCGCTAAATAACTGGGCAGCCTCTGTATTAACAACTTATATACATCGCTGGTGTGAGCAGCTGACTGAGTTGAGCTGGGCCTTACTGAGCTTGTCTGACATCCTTTGGAGCTCCCCCTGAAGCAATAGCTGCCTCAGGGTTGGGTATGGATGTTTCATGATGACTATAATGACATCTCTGATATATCCAAAATCTTACTGCAAGGAATTTGGATTCCTCCCGTAAAAACTAGGGTCATCACATCTCCTTCCAGTCTTTCTCTTCGTTTATGGAAGCCATTTCTGCAGCCACACTGTTTTTTATTCTGCCTGTTTAGCCGCCCACAACTTGTACATGGTGCTTGTCAAATTCCTCTAAAGCACTGTGCATTCGGATGTTCAAGGCTCATCAAGGCCCCCCGGAAATAATTTTGGCCCCGTGAAATGTAAACAGCCCCTTGAATATGTGGAATTGCTGGACTGCGCAACAGCGCTGAAAAGCCAATATGGCACCGGAAGAATGCAAGTGTCATGCAACGCAGCGCAAAGCTTTTGCGTCTTACTGGTTACACCACAAGTGAATGAATTGGGAAACACAGTGCGCATGGCAAGTAGACCTAGCAAATGCAAGTAGTCGCCAATGTATCGGAAGATGTTCCTTAGTTGTCCAAAGCTGAGACTTGCATTTTGTAACTTCGAACAAAAATGAAGGGATCCAACAAGATCCAATGGCAACCTTTGACCTGCCGGGCCTTTCCTGTACTACATCTTACTAACTACATTTTTCTTCTCTCGGTCTCAGACCACGAGTAGCTCCGCAGCAGCTTCTCCCGAGACAGCTTCTGGCAGCTTGCCAGGGAGAACTACGTTTCAGATCTTTCCACACGTTTCAACGAATTGGCGAACTGCGGAATCTCATTCCCCACCTCAAAGCCATGTCGAACGGCCCTGAGATTGAAACGGGCATCGCAGCTCGCTCAAATGCACCGCAAGCAAGTTAGAACATCAAGCGGGTTCACTTGGATCCAGAATGTCCGAAAAAACCCTGCGCAAGTGGGAAATCACATTCTGTGAAATCTGGTGCAACACTTACAACACCAAAGCATGGCTGCCTGGTTTCAATCAAAAAACATCAACAGATGGTTTGTCTTCGCGGAAACGCTTGAGCAACCGGGGCACCCTCTCAAGCTCGGTCTTTCTGGAGCCGGATTTGGCACCTTACAAGACAGTTTCACTCCATCATCCAAACACCATACAACATCATTTTTATATAGTATCATATAATAGAATATAATATAACATAATATACTATAACACAAAATAATATAATATAATAAAATATAACAAAATATAATATAACATAACATAATATAACATAACATAAAATAATATAATAAAATATAACATAATATAAAATAACAAAACATAATATAATATAGCACAAAATAATATAATGGAATATAATATTACATAACATAATATAACATAAAATAAATAAAAAAAATATAATATAATGTAGTATAATATAATATAATATAATATAATATAAATATGATATGATATAATATAATATTATATAAATATGATATAATATAATATAATATAGTATAGTATAATATAATATATCATAAATATCATTATATAATATATTTTAATATAGTATAATCTATTATAATATAATGGAAGGAATGGAATGTAGTATGTGTATATGTATATGGATAAGACATATATCTTTCATATTTGTATGTGTATATGTTTATATTTATATATGTATGTGTTTGGGTGTGTGTGTGTGTATCTGTCTATTTAACTATCTATCTATGTATGTATGTATGTATGTATGTATTTATGCATGTATGTGTGTATGTATGTACGTACGTACGTACGTATGGATGGATGGATGTATGTATGTGTGTATGTGTGTATGTGTGTATGTGTTTATGTAATGTGATGTGATGTGATGTAAGGTAATGTAATGTAATGTACTGTAATGTAATGCATGCATGCATGTCTTCTATTTATATATATATATGTACAAGAATTAATTATATAAGTATAGGTATCGCCAGAAATGCCACAATTGAACACACCACCTCAGCAGCCTCAGCAGCGTATCTGGGCACTCAGGTCTTTGCAGGTGCTGCTGCATCTGGCGCCGGCGCGGCTTCAGTTTCAGCGTCAGCCATGGACCTGGAAGCCAGGATTCTGTCCGCATCATCTGTCGTGGTGACGTGTCTGACCTGTGCCTTCAAACTATCAGCTGCAAAGGTCTCCTACCTACCATCTTGAGCTTCAAAACGGGGCGGTTCATTGACTGATTGATGGACAGGAAGACAAGCCATCAGGTAAGCACAAGAAGTTTCGCTTGGAAGATATGGGTTCACCATGTCCAATCACTACACACAACCCAACACTTTTAGCAACATCACATCAGAATCAGAACATAACAGAGCAATGGCGTGCTTCCTTTCGCTGCTGCGGTATATGCGCGTTGGTCCACTGCCATGGCTCAGCCATCATGGGTGGAACACAGGATTGATGGCACACATCTATCTACAAACGGATCCGAGAACACCGCATTGCCGCACATGAGGCGTTCATGAACTGAACCCTTTCTGATTTCTATCCACGTTGCCACAACCAAGATCCGAGCAATCTCAAACCGGGGCAGCTCTGTCAAAATCCTTGCTGGCAATTGCTGGCATCTGCTTAGATTGAAGCGCTGAGCTTCCGCGATAACCTCGAAATACCTACTGCCATGAGCTTAATATCATCATAGCACCAAGACTGAGCGGACTCATTGCGCAGCGAGCAATCCATCTGCCTTCGATATGAACGCAAAATCATCTTGCCGAATCTTGCCGACATCTACGGCCAAAAAAAACTCATCGGCATCTCACTGTTCATGTGCGTGTGTGTGTGTGTGCACAGTCCTGTTTGTGCAAAGCAAGAAAGCTAGAACAGTCGGCCTCGGCCTTTGGCACTCCTTGAACCTACGCCAAAAGATTGCTATTGGGTTTCAACATCTGTGGAAACACATTGACGATGTTGACACTTTGCAGTTAGTCTAGAGTTTGCACTAGCAAATCTATCAATGAGAACAGCTGCCCAACATCTCCAGCACTCAAATCATGCTGCCACGCTGGGCCCCAAGGGCCTTCATGGTGCTGCCACCAAATTCAAGGCCGTGCAGGGTCCGACCCGCACTTTCTGCCAGTGCCTTTGTACTGCTGCGGGATCAGTAACGTTTGCATTGATCATGTGGACACATCTGGACCATATGTCCAAAGTTGCAGTCAAGAAATCAACCAAAGTATACAAAAACTATTTAAATCTGATCGATTTTCGTCAGGAATCCCTCATTCTGGGGGGGTCCTCTGTTGGAATGCCCACATATCGCTTCGTTTTCCCGACTTCTGCCGTGCTGCCGCGTTCTGCAGCTGCATGAAAATGATACCAGCCTTCAGCAGGATTGCAGATCACAGCAGATCAATGCATGGCTCTCCCGGGAGGAAATCGCCTTTCCAGGTACGTCGAAAGCCTTCTGCACCGGGTCACCGCCCTGTTCCTTGTTAAAGTCCTTGCCGGGAGAAAAAATGGAATGGCCTTGAGTGGCCTGAAGCAGTCTGGGTTGCCGTATCAATTTCTGGTATAATTCTTCAACATTCTTCAACAAAGTATGTTCATGATCAACAGATATCAACAGCAGTCCGGCAGAGTCTTGAGTGTTGGGTTGAAGAGGTCGCAGAGGTACTTGGTGGCATTCTTGCCTCGGATTCAGTTGGATCGAGCGAGCACCAGCCAGGTGAAATCGAAATCTAAGACTCTAAGGCTGAAGCCCTTACTGCTGAGATCTGGAAGATTGCTCACCTCCAGCAACGACCTCAGGAAGCGCTGAGTTCTGTGTCATCTCAGTTCTGTCTCAATTCTGTCAATGTCTCAAGCCAAGGAAACACTGCCATGAGCTGAAGCTCAGGAGTTCAAAGCTTCCCACGAGACATTGCCATCCTCCTTGTCTTCACCCTGGCTCACAACGTGTCACAACAGTCTACAATCAATGCAGAACTAGAAATGCCATGCGCAGTCCTATATGCTGACAAAGCCGAGCCTGAGCCACCACAACTCTGCGTGGATGTGCTCGGCCTTCGTGGCCTTTCCTCAGCTCGCGGAAACTGTAGGTTTTAAGTTTTAATCATGTAAGATCTGTTGAGGACAGAGACAAACAAATAAGCTTCAACAGGCTTTAACATGCGTCAACCTCCAAGGATTCATACACCTCAGGCTGGCACTCAGCCGATCGGGAGTCTGAGCGGGATCTAGATCCAGAGTCAGAACGGCGTGCCCTGCCAATCTTTCACCACTTTGTTGCTGATGCTAGACATCATGATGGGAGAATCAATAAAGCAGCTCGGTCGAGTCAGTCAGATTTGGTGCTGTGCCTGCGGCCTCTCTCATGGCCCTGTGGATCTGCACCTGAGCCAAAAGAGTATCAGCATGGAGCTACTCGTGAAGCACTAGAGTATGTGAGTGAAAAAATGGAGGATGCCCTCAAAATATTACAATTTGTATAGGAACCTGGTATTCAACATCATTCAACCACAAGATTTGGGGGATTTGGGGGTACCCTATTTTAGACAAACCATGACAAACTAAACCCATATTTCAACCTATTTCCTGGCTCAAAAAAAGAGTTGAAAAGACTCTTCAGATGGTCCGCGCTTGGCCGTGCCTACAATGTCGCCCTCGGGCGCAGCGCGATCTCCATCACCATCCTGCCACATGTTGCTGATGGCTCTAATACTGAGAATTAATTACAAGGAAATCCGATGGATATTCTTAGACATACACTACATATCACTACATATACAATAGATATGAACAGGTATCAAAGTCCGAAAGTCAGTGTTCGTTAGGTCCCAATTTGCTCCTGTACGCAGCCAATCGAGCCCACACACTTTTAGCTGGCAAGCCGAGGAATAGAGCAAAGTCCGTCCAATCTACTTGCAGTCTTGCAGTAGAGAGGAAAAAACAAAAACATCTTCCAGCAAGGTACATCAAAACCTTGCAATTAGACTGGTGGTGGCCTGCATTTGCTGCGACCGTTGAGAGTAGCTGTCCTAGCCGGGAACACTGCTTACATGACTATCTGCAATACCTTTGCAGTGAGCGACAGATAGCGACAACAAAGCATAAACAGCATGCACTTCAAAGCCCAGTCCGCCGATCTGCTGCGCCACGACCTGTACAAATCTGCATCTGTACATCCATTGAATCCATTGCGTCTGCATCAAAATCATCAAATATGAAAGCTGCTATTAGGAACAAGGCCATTCCTTGGATCCAAAGTGCAAAGGCAAAGGGAAGGTGTGCCTACTCCTGGATCTGTCATCTTCGGAGGAGCCCTGCTGTTGCCTTGGAGCACAAGTCCGGCCCAGGGGTGGTGCCTTGGAAATGGATTTGCAAGAAATGCCTTAACTTCTCAAAATTCTGTGAATTGGGACCCTTCCCCCGATACATCTTCTATACTAAAGTACCTGCAGCTCAGGTAGCCTGTGATGACTGTTGTGACACACCCTGCTTGTGCTCTTGGGCTCAGGCTGCTCCTGTTTTTTTCTGCTTTCCTCTTTTGGATATCTGCCTGGCAGAAAGACTTCAGTGTCCCTGGTAAGCCAAGGCTGGATATGTGACACCATCGACACATATCAAATCCAAGCAGGGTCAGCAAGTGACCACCTTCCAACCAAGGGTGAACCGGGTGGTCATCCACCCTCCCTCCCAACGTTTTGTGTAAAAAAAATGGTCTGTTTATCGTCCTTTCCAGTTTCAGAATCTCTCACTCCACCTGACTTCCATCGAGCTCCTTGACTTCCTTTCCCGCGGGTGTTACTTCCTTGGCACCACGATGTCTGGCCAAAACGTTTTACAAATTTCAAGATGCTTGGGAGGTCTGGGTACATGGTTCCTTAATGCTTTGGATCCTGAGGAATTGAAGACCTGAACAACTAGTCTTTTCTTGGGAAAGGAAGAAACAATTTAAACATGCGGTTGGTGCCAAACTTCTGTTTTCCTTTAGATCGGCGCGAAAGGAGCAGCTCGTCTTAAACTGTACATGAGCCTTCTGTCCAGTCGTGCATACTTTGTATGCAAACGCCACATGCGAACTAAGAGAAGGACGATAGTAGAGCTAGAGGACGACTAAAAGTTGTCTAATTAAGGTCAAGAAATCCAGTTTCACTCCTGCAGACTCACAGTAGCTCCTCGACTCGGAAACATGCACATTGAACGCATGGGAGTTGTGCCCACGAGCAAGGGATCATCAGACAAGTGCGGCAAGATTCCTTGTGGGCAATCTAAAATCATCTCAATTTCTTCATGGTTTTATGCTTTGGAAGCGGAAGTTTTGGTCCTGAGTCCTTCGCTTGCTTCAAAGCGCACTGAATCAGCCACGCTGCATCCCTGGTGTGATTCCTGCGCGAAATGTCAAATTGCCATGTTTATGGCAACCCCAAAGTAGATGGAAAAGTGGGAAACCTAAAAATATGTATTGAAATGTATCAAATATCATGTATATTCATGTATCATCTATAAGTCTATCCTGGAAACACTGTTCTATCTTTTTGGGGATTGCTACAACAGTCTATATATATGTCTGTCACATAATATGCTTCATCCGCTTCCTGCCAGTCCAAACTAAGCTGGAAAGCCATGAGCCGTCTGTGCCATTGTGCCTGATCCTCTTGTTCACTACGCGCGTGAAGTACGTCACTGGGGCTGCTGGATCTACATCCTTGCAATTGCGACTGCGGCATTTTGCTTAGACACACATCCAAGATCACGAATCTCGAGCAGAGCGCATCTAGCGGGTACATCAATCAAAATCTCGGCTGTCGTATTCTTCCTGCACGACAAATTACAATCTCAGGAATAGGATGCAAGTCAGACTGTGTGCAGGCCATGCTTCAGCCATGACTTCGACTCTTGTTCCGGATTCGTTCTCTGTGAGCCGAACTCCGACAACCTCGTCAGATCGAACTTGAGAGGAACTGGTAGTCAATACCTATGGCCTCCTATGGGCCTTGTTGACCTATGGCAAACAATGGTGTCATATGATGTCATATGGTGTCATATGGTGTCATATGGTGTCATTCTGTTGGGCCAGCGACGTCAATGTGGCCACTCTGCTCACCTGGCACACGAAGGGCTGGAAATGGCTTTGTATCAAAATCCCGTACCCCAGTTCACACCAAAATAGCTCACATTTATGGATGTTCATACCCCCAAAATATGGATAAATTTGGCACAACCATCATTAAACACATATTCAACATCATTCAACTCCTGTTAAACCGCCATCGTTGATGCTTAAATTCCCCGAAATATGGCAATTCATAGGTTTGATTTGGATCCATCCCCAAATAAGGACAGTGGCACCACGGAGCTTTGGCACACCTTCCACTTCCCGCAGTTCGTCGCCTGAGTCGCCAATTTTTCAGGTCAAGCATGGTCAAGCTCACCTATGCCATCCCATGCCTATCATTGCCTGGTTTGGGATCTGGGTAGCCTAACTCAAGGAGCTTGTGGCCAGCGTGTAGCCTGAGGTGCTCATAGAAAGAGAGGCTTCTATTGCCAACACCAATACCAAAGCGGTAAAAACATCCTCACATGTGAGTCCAATGACACACAATCATTCCCAGCAATGCCCAGCAAGCTCTGCAAACAAGTGACCATAAAGGCTAAGCCATGAAAATTAATTGAAGAAACAACTTAACTTAACTACAGTAATACCGCACAAACAAAATTAATGGTTCCGATGCTATCTGCTGTCGTGGAGCATTCTTTATGCTCATTGGGATGGTTTGCAGGGCCACAGTGGCAAGCCGTGCAAAAGTCACCTCGCAACTTTACGGTGCCCAAACGACAGTGCTGGGTAGTGAACATGACAAAGCACTGCTGCAAACAACTTAGTGAGTGCATGTAAGATATTGTGAGATATTGTGAGATGATGCGAGTAGTGACATTCATTGAAGTTCTCGTGCAAAGTTTGAGCTGCTGGCGGCTGTAAAACCATTCTGCAAACGCCACATAACCTTCGCATAACCATTCTGCAAATCCAGAATTTCTGCACCGCCGCAGGAATGAAATGCCAAGCCACGAATGTAGTGGGTATTGTCAGACGCTGCATCTACTGGTCGCGACCACATAACCTACACCCGACAGTGTGAAGAGAACAGTCGTTGAGGCATGTCATCACTGGTCGCATTTGATGCTTTCCAATGCTTTCCACATATCCCCAGTATCCCCATGCCTTACAGCCAGGATCAAGCGATCCAATAAGACTCATCTGCTGTACCACTTTGAAGGCGCGGCTCACTGGAATGTCAACCTAGGTCACAGTCAGACCTTTATCACTTTGTGACTACAGAATCGTTATGGTCTCGTGAAATTCCGAGACCTTCTGAGGCAGGTGCATTGAAGGTAAACACGTACGAGTAACCTCCTCTCCGGGCGTCAGATGGACCTCTTTTGACCGCCAAATCGTTGCCAACCTGCTGGATGCACGTATGACAGCGCCGAATCGCAATATCGAATTCGAGAGGATATCACTAGCTATATCATGCTATATCTAGCTATCATTTTTGAAAGGCTCATTCCAGGCCTCTCTGTCCCAAACGTGGAAATCCTCAGCGGTAAAGTCATCAGGATCTCTCAGATTTCAACATTTTTGTCGCATTCTTGGACCAAGGCACAGCAGCAAATGCTCGTGACAGAAAGGGCTCCTAAAGGACTGGAGCCAATAACGAGAATCACGTTGAAGTTAAATCATGTTAAAACATGTTAAAACCAGAAAGCCGGGCTCTCTGGTCGTTTCTCTGCAGCAAAATCATCGCGGCCATGTAGTTTTGCGCTCTGATTTTTTTAGGCATCCAGTGTCCTCTTCCCAAGCATCCTGGTCGTCCAATCTGGCATGCAACCTGGGCGACCAAAAGCACTACACGGGAACGAATACAACAAGGTCAAGTCCCTGGCCTCTTGTTTGCTTCGTCACAAGCCTCTCGGATCTGCTTGGCCTGATCAATGAATATGGATTACGATATACTGATATACTTATCTATCTTCCTATAGATGCCATTATAATTATAATGTGTCAAAGTCAATGATGATCGACTGATCTATCGACTGTATATCTCAATCTTGAGACCACATACAGCTTGCTCAGCTTGGACAGCCTGCTCAAGTGGCAGCTTTTCCAAGATGCTACGGGCAGGAAGCCGTTCCTGCGGCGCACCATGTGGCCATGTTGGTGTTTCTCAAAATTTTGGTATGCCAGAACCATTCGTTTCGAATGCTTCGATCATGAAAATGACCAACAACCTAGATGATAACTTGACTCTTTTTCAAAAAAATGAGAAATCCTGCATATGTATCCATGTGTGGTTTATGCTTCGGGACTGTTCAGCCCTGTCCTGAATCTGCTCAAGTGTGCGCATTTGTAGCTTGCTTAGAGTGCTCATAGAACCCAGAGTGGCGCCAACGAAGAGAGCACCTTACGCTGAACATGGAAGCTCCAAAACTGAAGTTCACAGCGAGGTTTTGTTTAATCATTTTTTGCAATTTTTTTCTACCATCATTTCAGTCTTGCGATCATTTCACAAGGGCGTGTCTGAAATGTCCTAGAGCCTCCAATGGCCAATTTTATGCAGTAATTAAATAAATAAATAAACAAATAAATCATAATAAATCAGTATATAAATCGATAAATAAACTATATAATTGATTAAGATACAGGCAAACAAATCCATATCATTTCCCCATCTTGGAACCTCTTCCGGCAGCGCAAAGTAGAGCTGGCGCCCCCGAGGGACAGGTGCAGAATAGTAGGCCGCCCAGCATCACCAAACCAGCACCAGGCCACACAAGTTTTTCCCTGCACATGTTCTCCACGAAATCATGGATGGTGGTAGCATTTTATTGATCCATTCTCAACGGTTAACCGTTAACCAAAAATGGGATAGTATGAATGGTGATTCTGAATGGATATAATGGAGGTGCAATCCGAAATAGAATAAAAACTGTGGATGACCCCATGGGCGTGACTGGGTCAGTACCTCCCGTCCTGTGGTCGTACTCGGTCGCAGCTGCTCCACTCAGCGTTTCAACCTTGGCCATACTGAAAATACCGTTCCTCTAAATCCAATTCTAGGGGTATGCTGCCCCATTTTCAGACACACCCCTTTGCTCCTAGTTCTGTACTGATTTTTTGCAAATTTAGACTAGGAGCAGCCTGTCTTGTCGTCTCCTTTGCCTGTGCCACTGATTCTTCCACTAGGTCCAAACCTTCCTGATCCTGCGGCAGCTGCTCAGCCATGATGCGAGTAAACTCCATCAAGTTCACCCCAGCTTGTGAAAGCTCCAGCAATGCCACTCGCTCTCGAGCCACTTCAGCTGCGTCATCCTCAAGGCACTGCGAAGTCAACATCCAGCAAAAGGGTAATAAAGTAATACTCAAAAAAATATTATCCCTGCAAGAAACCCCAAACAGAGTGGGGGTAGTAAAAAGATCGTGCATTTTAATGTTGATGGTGATGGTAGTGCTGATGATGATGTTGATGATGATGGTGATGTTGATGACGATGATGATGGTGATGGTAATGCTGATGATGATGATGATGATGATGATGATGAGAGGAGATGATAATGTGGATATTGAGGAGGAGGAAGAGGATGCAGTTGAGGAGGATGATGTTGAGGAGGAAGACCGATCCCAAGACCGGGAAGCACACTTGGCGCGAGCCTGCGCAGCCAAAATGCGCATTGACATGACAAGAGCGATTTTGATTGGAAATTTACAGGGAAAGCGCCGTACTTGTGCGTGCGAGCCTGCGCAGTCGAAACGCGCATGGACATTTCACAAGAGCCATTTTTTCACAAGAGCCATTTTGTATTCAAATTTACAGGGAAAATGCCGTACGCAAAGCCCGCGACCCGTTTTGTGCGAGCCTGCGCAGTCGAAATGCACATGGGCATTTCACAAGAGCCATTTTGTGCAGAAATTTACAGGGAAAATGCCGGACGTCTCTCCCGCGGCCAACGTTTTGCGTGAGCCTGCGCAGTCGACATGTACATGGACATGTCACAAGAGGCATTTTGTGGGGAAATTTACAGTCAAAATGCCAAACGAATCCGATACCACCTCGATTGAACACCGGCCCTTGACTATTACCGTAAGAACCCCTCAGTGTGGCCACACTGTTTGGGGAAAAAAGATACCAGGTCAGATTCTGCAAGCTCCCTTTGTCAAGATCTCGGTAGAAGAGGTTCTCTGTAGAAGCTGCTGTCCAAGATCCCTGTATAAGGCTATCTGCACAAGATGCCTATAGGAGATCTCCACAGAAGCTCTTTGTAAAGGATCTCAAAGAAAGATCTCTCTGTTCAAGGATCTAGAAAGTCTCTCCGAGGAACACCGATGCTCTCGCCACCAGGTCTCTGCACAGGACCTCCATAAGAGGTCTCCTGGCAAGATCTGTGTACAAGATCTCTACACGAGCTCTGTTGGCAAGATCTCTGCAAAGTGTCTCTTGGTAAGATCTCTGAACAAGACCTCCATGAGAGGTCTCTTAGCAAGATCTCTGTTTAAGCTCCCTCTAAGACGTCTTTTGGCCAGATGTCTGTATGAGATGTCTCGTTTTGCAAAAGCCGGCGCGGTCAAAATGCACATGGACGTTTCACAAGAGCTATTTTGTGTGGAAATCTGCAAGAAAAGTGCCGTATGCCAATCCCGCGACACCCGTTTTGTGCGAGCCTGCGCAGTCGAAATGCGTACGGACATTTCACAAGCGCCATTTTGTCTGGATTTGTTTTGTGCGAGCCTGCGCAGCCGAAATGCACATGGACGTTTCACAAGAGCCATTTTGTGTGGGAATTTACAAGAAAAGTGCCTTACGCCAAGCCCGCGACACATTCGTTTTGTGCGAGCCTGCGCAGTCGAAATGCACATGGACATGTCACAAGAGGCATTTTGTGGGGAAATTTACAGGAAAAATGCCGATACCACCTCGATTGAACACCGGCCCTTGACTATTACCATAAGAACCCCTCAGTGTGGCCACACTGTTTGGGAAATATGTTTAAAAAAAACATTGATGATGCCCTGCTTCGACATCGAGGGGTCTGAAAATTGGTGCCCGGTAAACCTAAATATTGATTAATGCTGATGAATCACTATATTCTCATTTTTAATGGCTGTTTGTTGCGGCATGCCCAAATTTCAAACACACATGTTGAATCCTGCTGTCCTCCTCCGACCAGGAAACCAGCCGCCCAAAGCCCATGACGATGGTCCGAGGTCCGTCGGATTCCATGCAGGTCAGCACTGGGTGCTTGGAAAGCTCCGCAGACAGCCCCCCCTGCCCCAGGCAGTGACCAACACAGTCACTGTTCCAACTCGACTGTGTATAGAATATTATAATGTATTATAGTCATGTTTTTGCCTTCACCCATTTACAACAGCCATAGATCTACATAATCTATCCAAATCCTTCGGAATGAAAACGTATGCTGAGGAGGGAAAGAACCATCAATCAAGCTGCATGTCACAGTCCATCACGGTGCGCTTGTCGCAAATAGCAAAACTGAATGCATACCGGTTTGGAATGGGAAAAGGCATGGTGGGTTCTCTGAGCTTCTCGTACATCCATTTTGCTTCGTCCAAATCACTTGGGTGAAACATCTACAAGGCCAGTACAAGTAGCTGCTTGTGGTCTTGAAACAGCTAAGTGCCTCTGCAGAAAGGACTCGAACTTCGTCTTCAGCTTTGCAGCGGTCTTTCTTGGGATAGAGAAAGGTGGCGAGATGCTGCAAGGACTGAGACGGCGTCTCGTCGCGAAGCTGTGATCCATCCGCGGATGCTGTACCGCCCCTGGGACTTTGAATGTCATGGCCAGAGCCAATAGCATCATATCTCTGTCTCAGATCAGCAACCTGAACCCCAGGCTGCGAAATCAAGCTGGCGAAGAAAATTCTCAGCAACAACCAGCATTGATGTCAATTTCCACTGTTTAAATTTCACTCTGACAAGTAGGTCAAGAATGGTTAAGTATGGTTAAGTAGGTAGGTAAGCTTCTCTCTGGTGTGTTGTTCTTGGTTTCTGAAGGCGATCCTTGAAGGTGAACAAACCTGGCCTTTTGCCGAAGTTGGCCTGGTCGAGCTGCCAATAGCCGCTCCAGGTATCGAAGCTCGCCGCCCATCCAAGCAACATCCTCACCGAGAAGCGAACCAAATCAGTACATCAAACCACTCCGGAAAATGTCAAAGCCTCAATCCTAGAGGTACTTTATGTGCCATGCTCAAAACATGGTATGTGAGCTATGGTCATCTATTCTAGAAAAGGAATCCTTGCAATGGGTATACATGGGTATACTATATTATATCCCTACTATTCCCTAGTTATGGATTGACGCCCATCCCTCAATATGATTCAATATATGTGCGTACATAGTCCAATTTTTGATTACAGCACACATGGCACCACAAACAATTTTGCTTGACTTAGAACAAAAAAACACCAAATAAATCAGGACATGTCGCGCCTGTTGGGGGTATCTTTCTCCCCTCACACGGGCATCCAGGTATTGTTGCAAACACTTCTCCAGGTCTTCAGCGCGCCTGGTGGTATCCGTCGGTATCCGTCCAACTCGTGGGTGAGGCAGCCCAAATCTGAATTCCATGATGTTTCTGGAAGGATCACAAAAGGGTTTGAAGAATTTTGAAGATATTCAAACCACCAAGCAGTTTATCAGATCTATGAGTCTCTTCTTACCAATATCAGGACCATGCAGTCTGATTGTCATGGAAACCAGACGGCTTTTCAAGCAAAGAAATTCTTTGGCTTAGAGGCTGAAAGACATTCTTTGGTTCAAGGATCCTATGGCCCGTAGTCATCCATAGTCATCCATAGTCATCCTAACTTCCCGCTTATTGCCATGTAATCGCCTCGGCGCAACTTGCACCGCACTAGCCGCAATGTTGGCTTCCAATTTAGGAGCGTAGCTCATGGCTGTGAGGCAGCTTTACTTCTTCAACAGCGAGTTACAGCATCCAGCTTGAAAGGAATGTGAAGAGATATCAAGAGAATTTGCTCTGGCCATTACGCAAATGTAAAGGAGGAGATCTGGAGATTGAGCCTCTCTAGTCTGCGCAGAAATTCAAGGAGTTCGTCAATCAAGTTGCTTTTCTGCAAGACTGCATCCTTCAAAATCAAACACTCCAAGGTTGAGACTGTATGAAGGGCGAGAGTCCTCTCCTTTTGCTTGCCTGCACCAACAAAGCACAGACAGACCGAGAAAATTCGAGAAACAAGCCATCGCATTAATTGCAACGGTCAAATCATCGACGTCAAGAACTTTTTTCCCACGCAGATATCGTGATATCGTGATCAGCTGCATTGGGCCCTGCGATGCACGCAGACGTCACAGCTTGTCTAGTTTAAAAAAAAGATTTAGTGCAAAATGTGCAAAAGTGTACACTCACCTCTTGATCCTTTTGGATGTGGCTTAGTCAAATTTAGTCAACTGTTGTGCTGCGAATCTGGGGACATGGTTGGCTTCTGGGTGTCCACACCGCCGCTTGAGATCCAGCTGACATCACCTCAGCCCAGATCTTGACATTCCTTGCTGTACGAAGATGTTGAGGATCAACGTGGCATAAAGTTATACAGAATGTCAAAGGATGCCATATACATACACGATACAATATATATATGTGTGTATATAGATTTGATGTATACTAGCTCTATATTTAAGATTTGTATCTGTATAAGTAAAATATACAGTAATATACTGTATGCATACTATAATATTCATCCGCTGACCGTGACATAAATAGTGCGCTTTTGTCTTGCAGCAACGTTTGGTTGGACGAGCCAACAAAAGCAGCACCTCATCTTCCAACATTGTATAGACAGAGGCCCCGTGCCAAACTAAAGTCTACAGCAGCACTACAAATGTCTCCAGACCTCAATGGAAAACGATTCAAACTGATGACGATCACATTTATGAATGGTGCCTATAAGATCTGTCGGAAGCTGAGGGCACAATGTATCGGCCGAAACAAGACGACGTCTCAATCGCGTCATATCCTGCTTCGGCTACACGCGTGGGGAATGCTTGCACATGCCTCACGCTGCGAAGTCGTTCTCCTTCAGGCGGGGTGGAAGTGCTCCTTTAACATCCTCCTGATCCTTCGTAATCTTCGTACTTCAAAAACTATATATGCATGCCTCCAGCATGCCGAACTAGCCTGAGCTCAGCGATGTCTTTCAGGTAGTCTTTTCCACAATTATCCATAGCCAAGCCAAGTTCTTCAGAACATAGAAACATTCGGGTGGATACAGGAACGTCCCCAGCAGTCACTTCTAGACATTTATGGGTCCGTTACATCTCGGGATCTCTTTGGTCACATTTCTTCATCGAACGTGTATACCTAATTCTTTGTATGTCAATCCTGCAAGTTCTAGAGATGAACCTGCCCTGAAGTTCTAGCATGCTCTACCTCTACGCAATCCATAAGCTCTGGCAGACATGTCATCTCAGCAATATGGTTTGGCGGGTCAATGGATTTGTAGAAGAGACATCTATAGTTGGTTTGAATTTGGAATATCTGAGATTGAGAACTGCCAGGGCTAAGCTGGACACAATTGACGCATGGTTTTGCATGCTGAAAATCTCACCTCATCCGTCATCCCTGCATTGAATTCAAACCAACTGAAACGATCCAACGAGACAAACGACCTACTCTCAGAGCATGCTTCTCGGTTCACCCGTGGCAAACTCATTGACCTATGGACCATCAAAACTCGTTGATCCGTGGCAGCACCAAAGTTATAAGGTTAGATTCTGCGCCAGTGGGAGCTCACACAACCATACAACGAGAAAGTTCAGGGGTGACTGCCAGATTTCAAAAGTATAGCCGCGGATATTTCATAAGCAAATACTTAATCCATGTTTTTTTTCCGAGGGTGGTTTTCTTTCAACTGGTAAAACTGGTGCAAAGTGCCCCCTGTCCTTCGCATACTCCAGGCCCGCGTCGATCTCCTCCTTGAGGACAGGCATCAAAGCTTTGAGGCGGCCTTGTTCCTGACACGTCATGTCTCTTCTCATGTCTTGTCAAGTCCTACCAATTTCCCGGTATGAGATGAAACACGGGAAAAAATGTAGAACATGTTAGAACATCCTATAGAACATCTTGGAACATCTTGGAACATAGAACATCTTAGAACATCTGAGAAAAACTTAGAACATCTAGAACATCTTAAAACCTCTTAGAACATCTTAGAACATCTAGAACATCTTCAAATCTTGGAACATCTTAGAACATCTTAGAACATCTTCGAACATCTTGGAACCTCTTAGAACATCTTAGAACATCTTGGAGCATCTTGGAACATCTTAGAACATCTAAGAGCATCTTGGAGCATCTTGGAACATCTTGGAACATCTTGGAGCATCTTGGAGCATCTTGGAACATCTGAGAACATCTTAGAGCATCTTGGAACATCTTGGAGCATCTTCGAACATTTTGGAACATCTTGGAACATCTTGGAGCATCTTAGAACATCTTGGAGCATCTTGGAGCATCTTGGAAGATCTTAGAACATCTTGGAGCATCTTGGAGCATCTTGGAACATCTTAGAACATCTTAGAGCATCTTGGAACATCTAAGAACATCTTGGAACATCTTAGAACATCTTAGAACATTTTGGAACATCTTGGAACAGCTTGGAACATGTTGGAACATCTTAGAAAATCTTAGAACATCTTGGAACATCTTCGGACATCTTCGAACAGCTTGAGCATCTTGGATTATATTGGAACATCTTAGAACATCTTGGAACATCTTGGAACATCTTAGAACATCTTGGAGCATCTTGGAGCATCTTGGATTATATTGGAACATCTTGGAACATCTTGGAACGACTTGGAACATCTTAAAAAATCTTGGAGCATCTTGGAGCATCTTGGATTATATTGGAACATCTTGGAACATCTTGGAACATCATAGAACATCTTGGGGCATCTTGGAACATCTTGGATTTTATTGGAACATCTTGGATCACCTTGGAACATTTTGGAACATCTTAGAACATCTTGGATCATCATGGAACATGTTAGAACATCTTCCAGCATCTTGGAGCATCTTGGAACATTTTGGAACATGTTAGAACATCTTAGAACATCTTGGAACATCTTAGAACATCTTAGAACATCTTGGAACACCTTCGAACATCTTAGAAAATCTTGGGGCATCTTGGAGCATTTTGGAACATCTGAGAACATCTTGGAACATCTTGGAACATCTTGGAGCATCTTGGACCATCTTAGAACATCTTGGAGCATCTTGGAACATCTTGGAACATCTTAGAACATTTAACAACATCTTGGAACATCTTGGAGCATCTTGGAACATCTAACAACATCTTAGAACATCTTGGAGCATCTTGGAACATCTTAGAACATCTTGGAGCATCTTGGAGCATCTTGGAACATCTTAGAACATCTTGGAACATCTTGGAACATCTTGGAGCATCTTGGAACATCTTAGAACATCTTGGAGCATCTTGGAGCATCTTGGAACATCTTAGAACATCTTGGAACATCTTGGAGCATATTGGAACATCTTAGAACATCTTGGAGCATCTTGGAGCATCTTGGAACATCTTGGAACATCTTGGAACATCTTGGAACATCTTGGAGCATCTTGGAAGATCTTAGAACATCTTGGAGCATCTTGGAGCATCTTGGAACATCTTAGAACATCTTAGAGCATCTTGGAACATCTAAGAACATCTTAGAGCATCTTGGAACATCTTGGAGCATCTTCGAACATTTTGGAACATCTTGGAACATCTTGGAGCATCTTAGAACATCTTGGAGCATCTTGGAGCATCTTGGAAGATCTTAGAACATCTTGGAGCATCTTGGAGCATCTTCGAACATCTTAGAACATCTTAGAGCATCTTGGAACATCTAAGAACATCTTGGAGCATCTTGGAGCATCTTGGAGCATCTTCGAACATTTTGGAACATCTTGGAACAGCTTGGAACATCTTGGAACATCTTAGAAAATCTTAGAACATCTTGGAACATCTTGGAGCATCTTCGAACATCTTAGAACATCTTGGAGCATCTTGGAACATCTTAGAACATCTAAGAGCATCTAGGAGCATCTTGGAACATCTTGGAACATCTTGGAGCATCTTGGAGCATCTTGGAACATCTGAGAACATCTTGGAGTATCTTGGAACATCTTGGAACATCTTAGAACATCTTGGAGAATCTTGGAACATCTTAGAACATCTTGGAACATCTTGGAGCATCTTGGAACATCTTGGAACATCTTGGAGCATCTTGGAGCATCTTGGAACATCTGAGAACATCTTGGAGCATCTGAGAACACTACATAAATCAATCTGTCATCAATCTGCGGTCGAGGTTCATATTCGTTCAGGTCTCCAAGAGGATGAACTGTCTCAACGCCTTGCTTGCCGAAGGTCACCTCGGCCACCAAAAGGAGCAACAAACGGTGCTGCAGAAACTTTGGAGAAATAGCTTATTGCATCTTATTGCTATAAAACTGGTGAATTGGCTTGGTGCCTTGGAGGCGAAATAGGGCAGTTCGGTGACTTTGGACTCCACATAGGCACACCTTGGCATGCACTTGGCTTTCCACGTCAGGTTGACTCCGAAAAATCTACGTCCAAACATCCCGAAAATTAGCCAGAAAAGGATGTGAACATGGAGATCAAACGTGATATATAAATAGGATTAAATAGGACACAAGTCACAGGCATGTATCAAAGCAATGCTGTTTGCCTCTGAGTAACTCTGTGACTGCTTCACCATTGAGGCCAGCAAGGACAGCCTCCAATGTCACAGTTGGGCAAGTCGGGTCAATTTGATCCTATCTATCCACCGATCCTGGGCAAGTCTGACGGAAGGAGACGCCAGAGAGTTGGGCATGTTGGCACCAGCTACACTGTGCCTCTCTTATCCCTAAGTTATCTGACTTTTGAAATACTTTTGACTGATCCATCAGGGCAGCTCCATGATTGGAAAACGATGGAAAACGTGCCTTGCCGAGCCGAGCTCCAGCATATGCCATGGACAATGTTGCGCTGCCCTTGCCTTGGTAGTGAAAGTTTCCATGACTCTTTTCATGTTTCTGCCGATTTTTGCCCGGGTCTCTAACCGTTCTTGGCAGCAACGACAACGGTGCCAGCATCCTGCACCTGCAACGTTGGCCCAGAGCGTCAGAGGGAGTGCGACTGCGCGGCCCCGTCGCACACCGCCTTCTTGTCCAGGTCTGGGATCTTGTCAGCAGGAAGTGTCTTGCCAACCTGTCGGGAAAAATGGGAAAAAGTCAGACCCGGTGGCCGGTGACCCTTCATTGTGCGATGAGTCACATGTCAGCACTGTGCTCTCACCTGGCACTGAGAGAACAGCGGCAAAATGGTTGTGCCAGCATGGCCTCCTTGGTCACGTGAAGTCTTGAGGCCATGCCGAGTCATGCCGTTGTGCAAACATGTTTTAAAGGAACATAAATTTGGTAAAATTTGGTAATTGTTTCGTGTTGAACCACATCTAGCCATATCACACCATCCTTTTTGGGGGTTGCCAATTCAATTTAGACCCATCGCCAATCTCCAAACCTGGACAGAAATAGCTTTTTTTTTCTTACGCTTCTGCTGAGGCACCGATCACAGGGACGCTAACATCGGCCATGGGAGCACCAGTCATCTCATGCACGAACTTGTCAGCTCGAACAACATCCAAGGTAGTAATCTCAGTTCACACATCAGCGCATGTCAGTCTTGCAGCACAACAGCCAATGCGGACACATAGAGCTATTCGTGTATTTAGTATATGTTCTTTGTGTCAGGATCTAAATATTGGTTCAAAAAGTAAGCTTCAAAAGTAAGCTTCCAACTCCGACAATCTTTGCAGGATTCAAGCCTGGCTTCACTCTTGAAAGAACAGCAAGTAATTATGGCTTTGCTGAAGAAACAACGACAACAACGACCATGAATATCTATGAATATCTGATCATATCTGTCCAACACATTGCTGCTCTCCCTCCATCCGTGCTCTCTCTACTTCTGAGCATCAGTGCCTTTCTTCTTCCACATCTCACACATAGCAGGCACCACAGAATTGACCGGATTCACAATAAGCCCGACCACGGCCTGGCATTTGGGGAAAAAAAATGCCTGGAAGATGCAGATTCAGAAGGGCTGCGACCAGTTTGCAGCTGCAACAAGCAAATGAAGTACAAGCTCCAAGATGCTTCAAGCCTCCGGGCAAAATTTGGCACAGGCTTCCACAATGTTTTTGGCCTGCAAGTGTCCCCAAACGTGCAACTGGACCAATCAGATCGGGCATTGCGTCGCTCTTAGGCGGAGACAATTCCGGCATTGGTCTTCAGCAAGTCTTTTCGGTCCTGTGACTCATGCACTCTTGAGTTGGTACAAAATGACCTCTTGAACTTGCAGATGTGAAGAGTTGAATCATGTTGCACTGGTGGCAGTATCGACGCATGGCTATTGAGCAAGATACAGCCTTCAAGCGAGACCTGAACACTATTGAACACTAGCTTTCCATGGTGCCCAGTCATCCTTTTCAAGCAAAACCAGAAACCCATAGAAACCCAGCAACTCGGATCCCCAGTGTCTATTTCGCTACTGAGTCCACTGTGTGGTTGATAGCCTCAACGGTTCCACACGTCCTGCCCAGGCTTTCGAGGTACACCAGCGGGAACAAGCACCAAATGGCAACCAGTCAAGCACTCGCCAGCCTGGCCCAAGACTTGGAAAGTTCAAAAAAAAAAAAACATTTTAAAAAAAAACTATCCATACTGTACAGTACGGTCCGGTTTCATCATGTTCATCTTCATACCATTCGTATCTCTACATGTCACCGTTTTTCATGACGTGTTTTTCCTTTTTTCATCACTGTCTCCAGGATCTCCAGGGATTTCAGATGATTTCAGATTTCAGGGCCTTATCAATGGCCTTGTCGTCCTTATCAAATGCATAGCCCTTCACCTCACGATCGCAATGCGACGTTCAAGGCTCAAGTCATCTCAAGTCTCATGAGTCTTTTGGCTTTGGTCCCTTTGCCTCCATGTCTACCATTCCCGAAATGTCCCGAAATACGTGTTGTCTCTAATTCTCATGGTTTTCAAAGCAAAACATTTGAAGATTTTGAAGCCACTGGTTTCAGGAGCTCGATTTCCATATTTTCCCATCCAAGGAATCCAAGACACCTTACACTTCATGTTCAAATGCGACAGGTCGGCTGCAACACCCTCTGCCGGAACCATGGCCAGCGTCAAGTCCTGCCGGTCTTGCAACCAGAAATTTGAAGGAAAAAACAAACGACATGTCCAACATCCCCTGAAGTTTGAGGCTGCAACATACACGCAAAGCTCGGAAACCTTGGAATCTCCACAGTGGAATCCAGTTTGGAGCAGTCTTTGGCTCTTTGGATGATTGAGATCGGGACGTTTGGGTCCATAGCCATCAGCATGCTCAAAGGCTGACCAATGCCACCCGCGCCGCCAACGACGCAAACCTGCAAAATGTGCCGCAACGTGTCGCTGTTCGAGATCCGTGGCCATACCTGACCTGACCTACCGAAGAGAAACCTTGCAAGATTCCCTAAAGGCCCTAAAGCCAAGTGCAATCGCACACTATATTTCCCAATTACCATGTCCACAGGATGCGACAACACCATCGTTGAAAGAACGGCTGCACACAGCACATGCCGCAGCTCTCAAATCAGGCCTTGAAGTTTCCTGCCATGGCTGCACACAGAAAAGGACGAGTGTGTTTCAAAATGGCTGCAAGTTTTAGCAGATGTCATGCAAAAACCATGGCATGCTACATGTTACATAAGGTTGCTTCTAGATAGTCAAAGTATAATATATAGTTCATGTTTCATATGAATATATTTCATGTATGTCTCCTCTGTTCCATACATTTAATCACGGTTCCAAATCAATCAAACTCGGTAGGATTCGGTAAGATTTGACATGCGCTTTTCACACAAGCGCAGTCGCTGCAGTGCTCGCTTGGAATAGCACCAGAAATCGCCACTAATGAATTAATGCCGATGTTGCCCTCACTTTGTACAAAGAACTGACAAAAAAAAAGTGTAGCCTGAAATCAAATGACTAAAGCAACAGAACATGCCGAAAGCATCGCGACTTCTGCTTGAAACAGTTCAATGGAAGGCTGCACAGATTTCACTGCCGCTAGCATCCCATCACAACCCTACCAAGTACAGCAAGTTCGCCTTGCACATCTAAACCATCTAAGGTCATTGAGTCCCACTCAGGACTATGCTTGGCTTATGGGCCCATGCAACTCAGCATGGGAGAATAAGGTTCCTGGCATCAAAGCATCAAAGCCTTTATTCTTCGTGGACGAAATCCGTGCATTCACTTCAAGCCGCAGAGCACCTACAGTACTCTACAGAGTGAGCAGAAGGGAGAAATCTTCGAACAAAGATAGTCATTACAAGGCATTTGAAAAGAATGCAAAAGCAAATCCCTCTCCTCGTGTCCAACCACGTATCCCCTCAGTGCAGAAGTCGTGGCCAATTTGTCTTTATTCTTTGGAAAAGAATCAACGAAACAACGACAGCCAACGACAAAGTTGATTTGGCGCTGCTCGGAACTCTACAAATCGGATGAATCCTACATGGACCCCCGACCGGCCACATCAATATCATCAATACATTGTGTCAAATTGTTGGGAAAAAGATAAACAAAACAACTGAGTCATTGAACAACTCTAGAATGACCACAAAGGCCTTTGTTTGCCAGGGCACACCACAGCAAGTGCGACATCCAATGAAAGGTATCTTCCAGGACAAATCCGAGGATACACCTTCTCCTCAGTAAAATGGTAAGTGGTTTGCTCATATTTGCATGTGTACACTGTGTACGTAGTTTCAAATACTTGTGTATACTACACATACGCTGATAAGCGTGCACCCATGACCCAATCAATTCAAGCAGCTTCGTCCCGGGTTCCAAAGGCACCGTTCCATGTCAGAGCCATGTCCAACTCCTCTCCAAGCATTGCAAGAGATTGATTTCTCTTACGAGCAACACTAAGATGTGTATGTATATATATATATATTATTATTATATATTGATATATTGATATATGGGGGGTCCTAAAGTGGGGGTACCCCAAAATCATCCAAAATTAGACCATTTCAGCATTGAAACCCATGGTTTTGGGGTACCACCATTTTAGGAAACCTCCATATACAAGTTGGAATTCCACAATCACACTCTGCAGTCCTTTCGAGTGGGATCAAAGACATCGGGATTTGTGAAGACACTTGGATCCCGATTTGCCATGGAGAGCGTGTACTGATTCAAGGTGTTCTCTTTCATTGTGTATTCTCTTCCTCTGAACCTGACAACCTCAGAGTCGCGTCGCTAAAGTTTGAGCAGAGACAACATGAGACGACAATGTATGCGGCCGCGTTTAAGACTGCTGGGAGAATTTGTTGGTTGCTTTCAAGACAAAGTAAGGTATGGGCCCTCTCTTCCTTGGAAACGTTCGTGCAACTTGTCACAGGAGGATCAATACGCACCGCCTCCTGTTGGAGAGCTGTTCTGGCCAGGGTGTTTCTGCACTTCAGACTGCAAGTTGCAACACCTGTGCCAATCTATTCTTTTTATTTTTTTTACATCCGCATAGATCCAGCAGAATCATCGACTCTGGAGTGGCTCTCATCGAAACTGACAGAATCTGTGTCCTTGATGTATGTGACTGGATTGCTTTTGTATGCCGCGATCATTTCCGCGCTTGTTGGATACCTTGGCAGTGGTTTGGCCAAAAGTGTCATTTCAAGCACCAAAGTAAGGATTAGTAGAAAAATCTACAAAACCAAACTATTTTGTCGAGGTTCTTCTCAAAGCTGATGAGATGTGCACTTGCTTCCTCCGGAATCTTGCCTTGACATTCAAGGAGAAACAGGGAGGCTGACTAAACATCAAAATCAATAGCCAGCTTGCTCGATGAGTCACACTGAAGGAAAGCTGCCAGTGTCTCGCAGCATGCGCATGTTCCTCCAATACCAGCGAAGCCCACGGCAAACCTTCCATGAGCTTCTGCTCAATCATTTGTCATGGCCAACACAACAGAATCTGGCAAACTGACGGCCAAAGAAAATGTAAAGCTGCAAGCTGTGTCTTGAAAACGAGCCACATAATTTCGTCGCATAATTTCACTGCAGGGGTCCTAACATCGTCTCAGGCTCATTCAACAGTTGGCCCGAGGTTCATATCTCCAATTTCTCTATAAATTGGCTTTCTGAAACGATTTTGAATGCAGCAATTCTATTCAATTCTGCAGTCTCCTTCGATATTTGGGAGGCAGTTTCTCGTTGATCTCCAGTATGAAGGACTGCAGACCGTGCTTCTCGACCAAGCGGACCTTGCTTTTGAGACTACCATACATTACCATACTGTATCTATGAATATCTTGCTAGGGATGAGCGCACCAACCTCAACCTCAACGAAAAGATCAAGATAACAACATGATTAATAAACATGAATAATCATTAATAAACATTAACAAACATTAATAAACATTAATAAACATTGCTGTAATAAACATTAATAAACATTAATAAACATTAATAAACATTAATAAACATTAATAAACATTAATAAACATTAATAAACATTAATAAACATTAATAACAAGCTAACCAGGATTGCATCTTGCTGCATCTGAAGGACGGTATCTACCCGCAGACCTTGAACTTTGCGAAGGAGAAGATTGAAGAGGAATCTGTGGACCAGTCGGGGAAGGACAAAGGACCTCACAGCTGCCCCAAGCGAGAAAAAAAAAGAAAACTTCACAGCTGAGGAGATATTATACAATGATATACATTCATGTCATATTCATATATATATATATTCATATCATACTGTAATCATATCATAATCAAATCATAATCATATCCATTTTGCATTGCCCGCCAGCAACTGCTGCTTCGCTCAACCTAGTCACACCGCCTTTGTTCGCCATGCGCGAAGAGTGTCAGCGTCGGCATTGTCCAGCCAGACTCCAAACATCATATAGAAAACGCATTTGACCACCTGAAGCTGGAATCGTTGCTACTGTATGTCATGTAAGTTGCTTGCTCTGCATTGAAGGAAGGAGCAAAAGTAAGCATTGCAAACCCAGCTCTGCTCATCCGAGCAGCAATCAATTGCAGTTTTGTCTTGTCATTGAAATCCTTAGATGATCTGAGATGCAAAAGGTTGTCACTGCCTTAGCCTGCCTAAAATGGAAAGGCCGAAAAGATTGGAAAAGTGATTGGAAAAGTGACATTTTGCTATGCTTGAAGAACCTACACAAATCAAGCGCAGCGATGAAAGCACGAGAGTGTCCTGACTGCCAATTCCACGCTGTGCTTATCCAAGACAAGCACGTAGAGACTTTGAAGGAATCGGATACAGTACTTCTCTATACTTCTCTAAGATCTCTAGATGTTTTTCATGTATGTGTGCTTTCAGCTCATGTCGATATCATCCGAGGAAGTGCTGGGCGTGTTTTGGTACGCTTGGCAACTCCAAGCATCCTCCACCTGCGCATTGGGCCAGTCAGAGGCAATCAGCCCACGCAGCTTCTTCTGACGCTCGGAGTAGTAAGTTGAACCTAAACTGGACCAGACATCACACAAGGCATGGCATGTTGGTACTTTGACACCACTCCTCAGTAGCGCTTGCAATTGACATCATTTAGCTTCCATTTGCTAAGCATTTGAAGAGCCTCAAGGATTGGAGCAACAGCCAAGTCCAGCAATTTGCGTCTCATGCCCGCCTTTGTCAAGGAGAGTCGAGTGTAAAGCGCTTCGCATATGCGCCCACTCGCTTTCAGGGCCGGTATTGGACATGAAAAGCAAAATGTTGCTCGCCTTGATGCCACAGATATTTTGAAATATCCAACGCAGTCAACGCCGCAACACAGTGTTTCGCTTAACGAAAAGCTAAAAACTCTCAGGCATTGGCGAAAAGGTCAGGCACGCAGGCCTAGCTTCAAAACTGCGGAACATCGGCGCAGTCGTGCCAATCACTGTCTGAATGATGGAGAAGCTGGCAAATTCTATCAGAATTTTAGCCTACTCTGTGCCACAGAATTACAACTATCTACAACCCACAGCCACAGAAACAACTTTCTGCACCTGAATGCAGGCAAAGGAGTCTGATCTGCGCTGCTGAGATTTCATGATGTTGCTGCACTCCTGCTATTTTTTGCGCACATCATCGCACATCAACTGATTTGTCTTGCAAGTGGACAAAGGGCATCTGGCATCTGTCCTCGTATTTCACAGACCAAAAGCCCTCACCATGCCAGAAGTGTTCGTCTTCGCCAAAGGCCTCGCAGAAACAACTAGGATGTTCAAAGAAACTGGAGAAACAACTGCTTGAGGAGCAAATACAAACAGAAGGTCTTTTGGGCTAGAGGGCAGAAAAAGACAAAAAAATGGCTTAAAATGGCAGCAGGTGACCACGTCCCAGCATATCCAGGAACAAATCTCACTTCGACCAACTCGTGTCACAAGATCTCAATGGCCTTCCACTCCCAAATGAACAGAGCCAGGCGACTCCTCGCCAGACAGCACGGTAGCACGGCAGCATGGTCAGCGTTCAGTTCCACTTTTCTGCGAACAAATCTACCAAGGTCTCCTACTGTTAGCAATGAGAGCAGTCAGGCCACCAATTACCTCAGCCATATCTTTGGAAACAATGCTTCCCGGCTTCCCGTGACATTTTCCAATCCAACTGACAACTCATTCCAAATATGACACACAAATACACACAATCTGTACTGATCTGATCATATATCATGTACATTCCATGTATATATCATGTATATATCATGTACTGATATTCCTGTACTGATCTGTACTGAGGAATGCTAAGGCATCACCCGGGGCTTCCCATCCAAGCAGCATATCTCCACCAGGATGGAGCTAAAATGCAAGGACGGCCGCACTCGGCAGAGCCCATGGCTGAGCAGCAGAGCCATTGCGGAATTGCCTGGATGCAATAGCAGCCGAGAACCATGAAGGCCATGACAAACCTCAGCTTTTTTGTGCTCTTTGTGCTCTTTGTGCTGTGGAATGCTGTGCGAGGTTGGATACATTGGATACATTTGGATACCTGAAAGGTACTGACAAGTAGATATAAGATTGGATGTGTCCAACTCAGCTTTGTTGTACAACTATGGAAAGAAATTGCCTTTGAACATCTTTGAGACTTTCGAGCTCCTGATCCAGTACAGTGATCACTGTATGGCATTGTATGGCAGCTCAGGTTTGCACTGGCAAAGACCTCCGCAGATACCTTGCACGCAGCTGACCGGCAAAGTCAGCCACATGCAGCAAACCTTGGGCGACTTCCGCGGCTTCGAAACGTGCAACATGCTGAAACCAAGCAGGGCTGATTTATATAGCTAACAGATCAGGGGTAGCTGGACTTTGCACTGCGAAGATCAGTGCCAAGCGCTTCACTGAGAGCCATGATGCATCCCCGGTGACATTTTGAGGAGATGCATAGACAACCTGCACTGCACGGAAAACATCACATGAAAAAACCGCCAAAATGGGCTGAGGGATGAAAACCAGCTTCAAATCTAGATATTTCCAGCAGCTTGTGCCAGCTGCTCATGTATAGTTTAAAACACCTGCAAGGATGCTGCTCTCCATTCCAACAATCGTCTGCTGCAGAGAGGCACCAGAACTTTTTCGGGTGACGCATTGCTTAGATGCAGACTGTTTTGTAAGCCGTATCTCAAGCAGGAAGCAAAGCACTCTATACATCTCTATACAGAAGTCTAAACATGCCCTCCGGGGCCAAGCATGCTTCGCTTCTAATTGCACAATGCTGTAGCATTGGTGGTCATTGTCTGCAGCAAGCTTTACAATGGTTGCGCAAATGACAGCGTGCAAGGGTGAGTGCTGGAGTTGACTTTTCACTGCTGTGCACTCACCAAAACTTCTCACAGTTTTCAGTGCCGAAAAACAGTAAGTTGGTATTAGTTGGTCAAAACTGGCAAAATATTGGCCCGTTTAGGCTGCTTTGCTGATGAAGGGACACCCAACAATTCTGTTGGCCCAGCCTGAATTACTGTCTCGTTTACTGTCTCGTAGGGACATGCACGAAGATTTGCCATGATGAGTGCACTTTGCTTCTCTGTTCTTGTTCCTCTGAAATCAGTTCAGCATTGGCACGGAAAGTGTTGCTGAAGCTAAGGCAAGGGATGAAATCCTTCGCGTTGCCATTCAAGGAAAGGAGTGTGTTGAACATAGTTCCCTCTTCCAGGCAGGGATTCACCAGTGCCATAAGGAAGTTCTGCTGAAGCACCTTGTGCGTAAGCTTCTGCATGGGAGCTGCGGACAATGAAGTCTGCAAGAGGCTTCTGGGCCCTTCTGCAGCACAGGTTGCAAAGCCAACTTCAAACTCCAAGAGGTGTGGATGGCGCGCTGAGACCTTTGGCATCTGATTGAAGAGCTCCAACATCTTTGCATCTTCCAGAATGTCTCTGAAGGTATTGTGGATGACAAAATAGTGCACTTGGCTCTTCAAGACTTCTTTGCGCAGGGAGGTGAGCCACTGGGATGTGAGCTGGTGCTTGGCAGTGCTGGCAATGAACCAGCTGCTAATCAGCAACTCACACTGCAGGAAAGGGTCGTAAGGCCAAGACTTGGAGTCTGAGCGATCAAAAACAAAGAAGAAATCTGGCCGGTCAGCCTCCTCCTCTGTTTGACCTGCCTTGCGGCTTTGCTGTGCCTTCAAGCCTTCCAACCAAGGCATGATGGGGGCAGAGCTAAAGAGTGTGGCATCAACCCAAATGCCACCGAACTTCTCCAAAATAGCCAATCTCAAAAGATCGGATCGCTGTGCAGCAGGAAGCTCCCAAAATCGTTTCCATTGACTCAGCTCTGGGACCAATTCAGGGATATCTGCCGCTGAGATCTTCCGCATCTCGAGTTCTGGATTTGTGACCTCCCAGCTCTTGGCGCAAGCCTGGCACAAAGCAGGAGCATGCTGCCATCCTTGTTCCCAGTAAGTCCAAATGATCCCGGGCACCACGGGCACCACGGGCACCACTGACTCTTCGGACTCTTCGGACTCGTGGCTGTGGCTTGCTTCACCACTGCAAGTGGACTCCCTGGACTCCGTGGACTCCGACTCTGACTCCGTAGACTGTGGCGTCTTGGGACTTCTGGCACTTCTGGCACTTCTGGCCAGGATGATGGTCATGACCACCAGGACAACGGACATGCTCAGCAAGGTCGGGAAGAAGCCGTCAGATCCAAAGACACGAAGGACTCGACTCATCAGGAAAGGCACTCCGCCAGCGCCCAGGGAAGAGGCAATGGAAAACATCGCCGAGTCAATAGAATTCAGACCGGTGGATCGCCTTTCCTTAGCCATGCTGATGATCATTGAGTAGGAAGGCCCGGCTCCAAGGGCAACACCAGCAACTCCGACAAGGATTGCTGAAATTTCTTGTGGCCAAATTGCCGCAGGTATGCAGCCGACAGCGGAAAATGTTGCTCCAACAATCACGACAGATGAGGCTTTGGGCCTGAAGATCTTGCAGAACAAAGGTGCGAGGACCAGACGGCTCATTGCAAAGAGGATCCAAAATACCACAGTGGAGGAAGAACTCACAGAGGAGTCAAACCCCATCTGTGTCATGGCTGTAATCAGCCATGTGCCACACGCGACTTCCACGCCAACGGCCAGAACGCCAAGGCCGGCAGCTGCGATGGAAAATGCGCTGATCGAAAGCGACTGCTTTGGCTGACTTGGCTGGTTTGACTCGATGTCTTTCTCTACTGACTCTACCAGGTCATCTTCTAGCCGAGGAAGTACCAGAAAGAGAAAGGCTGAGAGGGCTGTGAAGCCTCCTGCCATGTAGAAAACAGCAGCTCCTCCGAAAGCTTCTGACCCATATTGCTCCAAGAGCACCATGCTGACGCAGCCAAGTGCGAAACCACCCTGATTCAGACTCTGAGCTGCACTGCTGATGCTTGGATCCTCGAAGAGTTGAGACACTAAGAGATTTGTCATCTGTCCAATCCATGGGCGTGGCAAAACCTGCAGTGCATAGACCACCACCAAGGCATAGATCGAGCTGCTGGCCAACGGCAGCACAGCAAAGAAGCCGGCCAACCACAAGGTCAGTAGGCACAGAAGGCGGTGGTGAAACCTCCGTGGCAGCAAGGCGACAACACTTGAAGCCAAGCCGGAGATGATGCACATCACAGCCTGAGCTGCTGGAAGGTATCCCAAAGTCTCAGGAGAGACTTCAGCATTCTCAGCAAGCCAAGGAATGGATGGGCCAAGAGCACTGCAAATCATCCCGAAGACCATCATGGAAACCGTGTAGGCTACCAAGCGCATCCCTGCCACCATCTTCGGGTGCCTCTCATCCCGCTCCTCCTTCAAAGAGAGACTTTCTGCTCGCCTCATTGCTTTCTGTTTCTGCGACTCCATCATGACAGCGTCTGTTCTTCGGCTTTCTTTTCTCGATATAGGCTTTGGACCGAACGGCTGGATGGAAGCGCTCTGAAATACATGGGAAATCTGACACTAATTGCAGAGATTATCACAAAACGAAATGACGAAATACATGTTTCTCATTTTTCTCAACACTTAGCTTCAGCGCCCTCGGCCTCGTTGATGTCGCCCCAACCAGTTGGTGACTTTAGCAAGGAGTCTTTCTCCATCTGGCCTGCACGCAGCCGGATGACAAGGTGCTGTTCAATTTACTCCACAACTTTCCAGCAAATTTCCAAGGCTAGAGCCTTGCCGCTGCAAAGTCCGACGCTTCTATGAACCACAACGCTGCTGGCTTGGGCAATTCGTAAGTGCCACGGGGTCGAGCATCCCAGCAGTCTGAGTATGTCTGAGTTCTCATATCGAAATATAATGTCTCGGAATGGCCAAAAAAGCTACATCTGTTGAAATCTATTGACATTCTATGTATTTCTATGTCATAGTCATAGATGTCATAGTCCTTATAGTCCTTCAATGTATTTCAATGTCATGTTTGTTTTCGAAAATCTCAGGTCCAGGCAATTCAGTCTCCTGGTGACGCTGTTCACCCGGAAAGTCGCTGCGCCGTCGCACTTTTTGCTGACAGGGCACGTGGAAATCATACAGCCATGGCTTCAAAGGCTGCTCGGAATGTGTGGAATGCAGCTATCCAGGCTGAAAGTTGAAGACTATTGCTATGTGTCTTTGTGTGGTGATGTCTGGTGCATGTAGATCATATATGTGTTTCATGTTGTTTCTGTATTTACACAAAACATCTCACAAAAGTATCTTGCTTGTGGCAGCGTACTCTCAGAAGCACAGGAGTCTCTGACTCTAACTGGCTTGACTGAGGCTATGGGCGGAAACTCAGGAGACCTACCGGTTTGTGGCAGCCGGTCATCGGCCACTAGACTACAAGGCCCTCAGCGGCGACGGAAACGTCTCCTCACCCATCCCCAGGTAGCGCCGCCTGTCAGTGAAAAAAAAAACGTGTTTCGTGATGTCGTGTGATGTGTTGTGATGTTTTGCGGAAGATTCTAGGTGCAATCTCTTTTTATGGAAAGTGTTTCAGACTGGAGCAAAATGGTCCAAGGTTGCCATATTAAACATCAAAACAGCAGTGTCACAGGCCAGCCTAGTGTAGAAAGCACCACAACGAAGAGCAACTTTGCCCATTTGCGCCAAACAACGGGGTCCACTTGTGGCTGTATGGCTTCTTCAATCCGACGAACTCGGACTGCACATTCCTGGGCTGCGAAGTTTGGTATCTTTTTGAAACAGGACCCGAACAGTTTTTGAATGCTTTTGAAGTTTTTAAAGATGTTGCAGCTCTCATTTTTCCAAGTCTCGACATGGCTGGTGTAAGGGAACATGTCAAAAATCGCCAAGGAAACCACTTCGTGGCCTTGCAGGATTTCACGAATCAGAAATTCGAGGATGGACCAATCGAACTCAGAGAAACGCCCAAGCCTTCCCGCAAGTACTCCAAGTCAGATGCGAGGGCCAGTGGATTGCAGGAGATGTACAGGATCCTTGGGAACGCCCCACTTTTTGAAGTTGCATGTTGACTAGCGCAACTTGCAGTGTAGCCGCCATCTTGCTATCAAATGCTATCAAATGCTATCAAGGAACTGATCCATTTCAGCCACCACTGTTCGTGTCTGCTGGTCGAGGCCTGTCAAGTTCGTATGACTTCTCAGCTACATCAAGCATGATATGAAGTGAACACTTTCATGACGAGGCTGCAAGTTGCCTGCGCGAGGGGGATCGACTAGCACTACGTCACACCCTGCGTAGACTGATGCGTCAATGTCGGCACTTGCTGCTCTGATGACGCGCGTATTCCTCGGCAAAAGTTGAAACCGCCAGTTGGTCCTCAAAGCCGGACCAACGGACTATCTCTAGCTGCTGTGTTCAAACACAGATAGTGGGCCTACCAGTCTACCCGGTCTACCCTACCTATTCCCGATGCCGTGAAAATCTCAAGGGATTTGGCTGACTGTGAAGAAGTGCGTCTGAAGCTCGTGATGTTGTTCTTCCTCAGGTTCTCCTAGGGCATGAATGCTTCGAAGAAATCGTGCATGATCTATTTTCTTTCCCCTTGCGTCTGTCGACCACTCAAGATTCTTCCTACCTTGTTTTTTGCATTAGTAGATCGACCAGTTCGGTCAGCTTATGTTCAGTCTGGGAGAGATAGAGATCCCTGGGATGGAACTATCGAATACATTCGAAATCATTCGAATACTAATTTGGAATCTCTATGAATCTCTACAACTCTATGCTCAGAAGCTCCGACAATCACTCCATATGGCTCCTCTGCAGCTTCTGCCAATCTCTTGTTGATCTCAACAGCTCGCACCTCCCCAAAGCCACGCGCTACTGCCACAGTATTGTTGCCACCTTGGTCCACAAACGTCGAATGACAGAAGAATGATGGCAGAAACAAACCAAAGCCCTGCCTCCGCAATGGAGTTCCAGCAACACTGGACTCCTCCTTAAAGTATCAACAGGCTTTTAAATACTACTGTCCAGCCACTGCGGCCACAAGATGCCACAAGGAAAAGTTGTGTCGAGTCTCGAGAGATGCCTTTGGGTTTGATGTAGTCACTTCAGTAACTTCAGTAAGTTCAGTTATTTCGATAACTTTAGTTACTTCAGTTGCCCCATGTGTCAGTGTCAACCAAGCGGTCCTGGCTCGGCGTGCCAATCGCCCGGCTTCTTTGGCCTCTTGGCAAAGCCAGTTCAAGCAATGCACCTCGCAACTCGGATTCCTCAGCTTTCCAAACGGGTTCACATGGGACCGTGTGGGACCATGTGGGAACCTCGTAATCCATGGAACTCTGCTGCAGCGCGCTTTCTGCAAACAAGCAGCGGGTTGGAAAACTGTCCCTGGCATCAAGTTCTGTATCAAACATTGTTTTCGTTATTCCTTTTTAAAGGATTTGTTATATTAAGCAACTGCTAAGTTCACCATCACACCGCAGCATTGGCCAGTATCATTCTGTTTGTTGGGCCTTTGCAATCCTTTGCAGCCTGCCTCCGGTTGCTTGTAAAACAGAGTGCGGCCATCTGCCAAAGTGAAGGACTCTTCCACGAAGTCTCGGCCCACTGCCAGGTGCCGCCGCTTCCAGCGTCCCATCACTTCGATGGTGGATCCTCGAAAAGCTGTGGAATCCCAAGAGCAGTCTCCAAAATAGCTGCTTCAGCTAGATGTTTGTCCCGCAAAATATGGCATAGCCATCATTAAACCCCCATGAAACCACCATTGTTGATGGTCAAATCCCCCCAAAACATGGTAATTCATAGATTTTGATCCATCCCCGATTTCAGGAACAGGCGCAACACTGCAATTGTGTGTAAGGTCAATGTGGTCACAACTCTCCTTGAACTCCAGCAGCTTCCACACCTTGGTGCCTCAGATGAGTAACGACTTCTTCATGCTCCAAACATGTCCAAAGAATGGTTTTATTGTTGATTTATACTGTACATATTCATACATCATTCGTTATTTAATGCACTCATAGTGATTCACAATGCAATGTCATGCATTGTACTCGAGCAGCTCTAAGGCGAGTCCATGTCGAGTCTATGTCGAGTCCAAGCCGAGTTGCAACAAAGCCTTAAACTCTGCAGCAGCTGCCAGCCACGCCTTCCCTTGAGAAGAAGTCTCGAAGGTGTCACCATCCTGACACAAGAAATCAGACTAATGTGGGAAAAAAACATGGAAAAACAATAATAAACCACCCATTTGGGAATGGTTTATACAACCTATTTATGGTGAAATTTGTTGTTATTGTTTTACCAACATTAGTCACTTACTAATCAGTGACTACAGTAATCAGTGGAAAGGCCGCGCAGCAGGTTGGTCAAACCTCCAAATCTAGCTGATCTTCTCTTGCACATATCTTCCAGTGGTAAGGCTGGTAAGAGGAAAGAACAATGGAAAGGACAATGGTAAAGAACGAGCTCTGGCTTCGATCCAGCCTCCTCTGGCAAGACTTCTCCACGCTTCAAGGATTGCAGGCGGGCATTGTAATATGCAAGACACCTAGAAAAAAACACGCAGTGCCAAGAGTGGCACCTCCACCAAGTACCAAGATACCAAGTTTGCCAATCTAAACGTGAAGATCTGCAGAAATTGTGAATCTTTACAGCCAAGGCACACGATTAATTCGCCCGAAAGAGTTGAGTGGAATTGCACAGATCTTAATCCGTGTCCGATGATCTTTCCCCAGTCCGTGGTCTTGCTGGTAGACCTGGTAGACTTGTCCACGTCTACACACTCCCACTCGTCTTCCCCGCACTCCTTGCAGACAAACATGACAAAAAAATACGAAAACACAATAATGTGGTCAAAACAATAGTAAACCATCCCCCAAATCACCATAAATAGGTGGTATAAACCATTCCCAAATGGGTAGTTTATGGCATTGTTTTAACCACAATAAATCAAAGCAGCCAAAACCTTGATGCCGACTGACTGGATGCATGACAGAAGCGACATAACATCCACTAGAAAACCCTTGCCAAGTTGCTGTTGCTTCCTCGTCAAGAGTGATAGGCATGGTACGCATCGCTTCCATGGCTCCAGAGATAAGTAAGGAGAAAATCGGCACCTGCATGGTGAGCATTCGGATTCCATCCCCACGGTTGTATGGGTTGTATCCAATGTATTCCCCATGACATGTTGCAAACCCAAATTGATTATGTTGGTTATTACTATTATCTAGGTGTATAATTATACATATTATAAATTATATATGTATATAATATATATATATATTGGATTATATTGGTACGCCCCCCCAAAAAAAAAAGTAACTGTTCATCTTGTCTGGTTTCATTGGTGGGATCAACGGGGTCTGTCACGCAGGTTGTATGTTTCAGATCTGTCCTGGAAAGTACTTGGATGTACAGTAAGAGTCGACTTAGCATGATGGAGGAATGCATTCTTTGGGAAAAGAATGCATTCTCCCATGGAACCAAGAAACAAGAATCAAGATTCCCGCCAGATTCTCTGTGCATTCTTGGCTCTTGGTTCTTGGTTCTTGGTTCCATGGGGGAATGATTTCTCTGCCATTCTCTGTTGTACCATCCTGGAACCTTTGCCAAGTACCAACTTGGCGCCCTGAAAGTGCCAACATGAACTTCCTTATTTAGATGAGGAATTACCTTACGTCGAGTGATCCCTACCGCGACAAATTATTTCGTTATAGTTTCTGACATCTCATCTGGAAGTATATGTGGCATATATTTTCTGACATTCTATTCTGGCATTCTATCTGGCATTTATTCTGACATTCTCTCTTGACATGGGCACTGACCTCTGGAGCTCGCAGTTGAGGTCCGGCAGTGCCCACTGAGCTCCGGAGCTCGCAGTTGCGATGCCGAAGGAGAAGAAGGAAGAAGAAGGAGAAGGAAGGAGAAGGAAGGAGAAGGAAGGAGAAGGAAGAAGAAAGAAGAAGAAGAAGGAAGAAGGAAGAAGAAAGAAGAAGAAAGAAGAAAGAAGAAAGAAGAAGGAAGAAGAAGGAAGAAGAAAGAAGAAGAAGGAAGAAGAAGGAAGAAGAAGGAAGAAGAAGGAAGAAGAAGGAAGAAGAAGGAAGGAGAAGGAAGAAGAAGGAAGAAGAAGGAAGAAGAACGAAGAAGAACGAAGAAGAAGGAAGAAGAAGGAAGAAGAAGGAAGAAGAAGGAAGAAGAAGGAAGGAGAAGGAAGGAGAAGGAAGGAGAAGGAAGAAGAAGGAAGAAGAAGGAAGAAGAAGGAAGAAGAAGGAAGAAGAAGGAAGAAGAAGGAAGAAGAAGGAAGAAGAAGGAAGAAGAAGGAGGAAGAAGGAAGAAGAAGGAAGAAGAAGGAAGGAGAAGGAAGAAGAAGGAAGAAGAAGGAAGGAGAAGGAAGAAGAAGGAAGAAGAAGGAAGAAGAAGGAAGAAGAAGGAAGAAGGAAGAAGAAGGAAGAAGAAAGAAGAAGAAGAAGGAAGAAGAAGGAAGGAGAAGGAAGGAGAAGGGAAGAAGAAGGAAGAAGAAAGAAGAAGAAGGAAGGAGAAGGAAGGAGAAGGAAGAAGAAGGAAGAAGAAGGAAGAAGGAGGAAGAAGAAGGAAGAAGAAGGAAGGAGAAGGAAGGAGAAGGAAGAAGAAAGAAGAAGAAGGAAGGAGAAGGAAGAAGAAGGAAGAAGAAGGAAGAAGAAGGAAGAGGAAGGAAGAAGAAGGAAGAAGAAGGAAGAAGAAGGAAGAAGAAGGAAGAAGAAGGAAGAAGAAGGAAGAAGAAGGAAGAAGAAGGAAGAAGAAGGAAGAAGAAAGAAGAAGAAAGAAGAAGAAGGAAGGAGAAGGAAGAAGAAGGAAGAAGAACGAAGAAGAAGGAAGAAGGAAGAAGAAGGAAGAAGAAGGAAGAAGAAGGAAGAAGAAGGAAGAAGAAGGAAGAAGAAGGAAGAAGAAGGAAGAAGAAGGAAGAAGAAGGAAGAAGAAGGAAGAAGAAGGAAGAAGAAGGAAGAAGAAGGAAGAAGAAGGAAGAAGAAGGAAGAAGACATGA